TGTTGGGATTTCCCATGTACTTAATCTGCATTTCAGAATCCCCAGTGGAATTAGGGAACCCCAGGCTGTGTGGAAGATCTCTTTCTTGCTCCTGCATCTTGTGTTAAGTGATGTCTCTCCCACTGGGGTCTGCAAAACACAGCAGCCCTTTGACCAACAGCAAATCAACAGACTTTCATCTTATTTCCATGTTCCCACTCCCCTGACAGCTCTCCTGGTCCTCCTTTTTCAACTGTTTTAATTAGAGAAACAGCTCATCCACGAAGCAGAGTCATGCTGGGGTAAAATCAGAGGAAGCAAAGGCACCTGTGTCCCAGGCTGCTAATGTGCATTTCTGGCCAATGCAATGAGGAACATCCACACAGTGCTTTCTTCAAGCCACGTGAAGCTGAAGCTGCACAAAAAGTCCCACTTAATCTTTCTGAGACCAGCAGATTCCACACCATGGAACAACCCACATCCCTCTGCAACCACATCCAGGCAGACAAAGGTGAGAGCCACCCTGCTCCCCAGCCCCTCTCCCCTTGCACAACCTCTCCTCACCATAAACCACCTGAGGGAGGGCTTAAAATGCAGTTTTTCCCTTTCCCTACCCATGAACAGCTCAGCTGAGCTTTGGTGGAGTGGATTGATTCTTGACCAAAGACAAGAAGACGGGAGCTCCTCTCCATCCCAAAGCAGAATCAACTGCTTTGATGATTCACCATGGCTGTTCTCCACCTAAAGTAGGACAAAGCTTACTTTAGCACCATTTCTCCTCTCTTTCTAAGTGACAAGGGATGCTCCTGTGTGGACAGGACACACGAAAATGTCTCATGTACCTGCTCTAGCTTTAAAAGTTGGATTAGTATAAGAAATCCACCAAGGGGGTGGAATGTGCTCTGTTTTCTTAATCCAAATAGCTGTAGCAGGAAAAATCCTACTGTGGCCACTTCTATATTTGAAAAAAGTGACTTATGACTTTTATTGGTAGTATTTTTGCCAGTATGAACCTTCCAAAACTCACCAATAGACCATGTTTTCATTCAAAACCATCTTTCATCAGAAACCCATGAAGTACATCTTTAAAAAAACCCAAAGGAAGTAGTAGAAAGGGAGGAAAGGCAAATCACACTTCTCACAAATCACATCAAAATAGCCTGTCTCAAAATTTTCTGAGCAAAATCTTTTCACATCTTTTATCAAAAATGTGATTTGAACAAACTTGAGATGGACTCGTCAGTGCTGTTGACAGCTTCTGCTGGTGAGAGATTGCAGACAGACGCCAGCTGCTGAGACTGTGAAACGGTTTGGGTAGAAATCAAGGTGTGCAGATACACCAGTGAGAAGAGTGTCTCCAACGGGAATCCTGCTGCTGGCTATCTGGGATGAGCCTTCATTTGGCTTCTGTACATGGTTTGAGGTGAAGCCAGAGGCTTGGGAGCAGCAGCTAGCCCTGAGCTCCTCACCACATCCCACACGGAGCAGCCGCCTGCCTGCAGTTTGCAGGGTTTGATGCTGGAGGGAGATCACTGCTCTGCATGTTTTGTAAATAAAATATGACACTAAGAAAACACCTGCCTGTGCGTCATCAGCTCCCTTCCAAGCAGGACACGGACCCCTCCATCTCCACATCAGCCTTGCGTCATGTTCCAGCTGCTCTTCTTTTGTCTGACAAATCACCACCGCCTACCCCAAATCTCTGCAGCACCTGTAATTTGAGGGTCAGCAAAACATTTTAGACATCAGAAGCAAGAGGGATGGAAAAAAAAACCTTTATCTTGATTGTAACACAAGGAAAATCTGGATGCAAACAGTAGGAGTTATGAAAACATTGAAATCGTGGCTGTGTATTGAGCTAGGAAAAATAACATTTGACCCACAAGTCACCCGCTTGTTTTTGCTGTGTTTGAACAGGCTGTGTAGATCTTTGTTTGAAATGTACACAAACACATTGGATTTCATGGACTTAGCAAATATGTAATCTAAGAGAAGGGGAAGTGTGGGTGACTCGCATTTCTTAGGATCCACCTACATACAGGGATAAAATAAGGGGATTTATTATTATCTGCATATATACAAACACGTGTGTATATAGTGTACATACATATTATTTTATACACATGGCTTATGTATGTGTGAGTATATATTATGTATATATATGTACAAAACAATAATGTATGTAGGTGGGTATTATATATATGATATATGTATCATTAAACACAGATTATGAACAGCTGTACAATAAACCAAGTGGCATGCGCATGAGATAGGGAGGACGAATCAGTGGGGAAAGATATTTTACATGGAGGTTTCCAAGGAACGTTACCAAAGCAGTAATTTATTTGCGGAATTTCAGGGAGGGGAAGGAGGAAAAGACACAAAGGTCTCAGAGCTGCGAGTGAGATAAACCGTACATCATCCTGTATGGAGCAAAGTGGAATGCAAATTGTAGACAAACAGAAAGGGGGGGGGGGGGGGGGGGGGGAATATAGGAACCACAGCTTCAAAATTACAGAATGCTTTAAGCTGTGTGCAGGGTTTAAGGACAAAGGGATTTCCCTGATTGTTCCCCCTCTAGAAATAACTCATTGTTGTGAGCAACACTGGAGAACAAAATAGTCTTGCACATTGGCCTGGGAACTCGCATTAAAACATAGCGGATTCAATCCATATTGTTATGTTTTACCAAATCAGCCTCAGACTGTGGCTTCAGTTACTTGTTTGGGACTTTTATTATCAACTACATGAGGAATAAAATTATCCACAGTGAGAACAATCAACCATTGGAATAATCTCCCCAGGGAAGTGATGGAGTCCCCAGCGTTGAACATTTTAAATACTCAGCTGTACAGGGTACTGGAACATCGTGTCGACTGTGCTTTTGCCAAGAAAGGTTGGACCAGATGAATCTCGAGGTCCTTTCCAACCTGGTATTATGAGTCTATGAGTCTATATTTATAACACCTTGGCTGGGTCCCCTTTCTAATCAGAGAAGCCGGTGTGAGGCGAGGTTTGTTATTTCCAGCAGAGAAAATACAGGTTATTAAAAGATAATTTTGTGGTGGCATTTTAATATTTCTGGCTCATCACAGAGGTTGCTGCTGTAGAGTCCTTATTCTTTATACCCACACAGCAAAAACCTACATGCGACAGACTTTGTGCATAAAACCACAGCCCCCTTCAACCAGGACACCAAGTACTGGCTGTCACTGTGGAGACACGGTGGTGATCGAGGTGATGATGGGGCCTTGACAGATTTGCCTTTAGCTGTCACTTCTCCCCTTCCCTCGTGGCTGCGCCTCCTTTAACAAGAATTGACGGTGCTTTGGACCTTGATATGGTTCGGCGAGTGAGACATATTCTTTGCCCTCAGTAGTGTTGTTGGAAGAGCCAGACCTTTCTAGAAGTAGGGATGTACTTGGGAATTCACTGGAAATTGAATTCCCATTTTGCACCCTGGAAGATGCCCCATTTCCCAGAGCGAAAGGGACTCAGCACCCCACTAAAACATGTCCCTGGAGAAGGGATAACAGCTGAAGGATAAGACGAAGATCTTTCCAGAAAGGCCAGGGTGGTTCCTCTGGAAACACAGGACACATTTCCCTTTCGAAATAACGCAGCTAAGCCCAGGGGAACAACTTGCCCTGCAGAATTAAGAGAGGATTTGAAGGAGAAAGCAAGCATTTGGTGCAAAAGAGCCCCGGGGGGGGGGGGTGTGGGGGGGCACTCCCCAGGAAGGTGCAGCACAAAAATAGATGTAAATCTGCAAAGGCTGTCACGTTGAAGTAGATCTGAAGTAACTCTATTGTCTTCAACGGGGTTACTTCGGGCTTACACCAGCGTGACTGAGATTAGCATATTGGCTTGGGCGTGCTCGTCATGATAAGCACAAGGGGAGGCGAGCGTTGAAGCTGGGTTTCAGGTAAAATCAGTGTCCTCTTATCGCCTTCCTCCCGCGTTGAGGCCTTCGCTTTATCACCCCTCCTGAGCTCAGCCTCTGCTCCGGCCCCACCACGGCAATAACTGGTACGGATGGATATTGGATAACAGCTGGAATCCACACAGGGAAGGGAGGAGGCTGACCCAGCCAACCCCCGGCAAATTAAAGGAGGAGTAAAGAAAGCAATTAAACAATATTCAACCAGAGGCAAACCGAACAGCGGGGAAGGCCCGCACGGCCCATCTCCCTTGTAAATGCAATCCCGTTTACGAGCAGAACCTCATTGTAATTGCCTGCCCCTAAGCTGTAGCTACACATAGAATAAAAGAGCAAAGCGTGAAGTAAAAGTGCAAGATGCTCTTGAAAGAGTGGGCTAATTTCTCCACCCATCGGGGATTCCAATGCCCTGTATGTTTGTTGCTTCAAGTGTTTGCAGAGAAAAAGCCACATATCTGAACTTGCTCAAGCCATGGAAGCTCCCATGAGGGGCACAGCAGTTGCAAGCGTGATTTTGGTGCTGTCTATCCCCGTTTAGGCTTAAGGAGGCGGTTGCTCCTCTGAAGGGAGAGCACCCCTCGCACCAAGCCACTGCCTCGTGACTTGAGGCAATGCTACCTTGGAGCAGACACCACGGGGAGACAGCGCTGACAGAAGCCCGGCTGGCACCAAAGGGCCTCCCCGCCCGCTCCACAGCCAGGTTCCGAGGCACCAAACCCCGTAACAGCCCTACAACCCGCAGACGGCAGCGCTGCACTATTTCACCTCCCGTGAGCGGAAGGATTCCGCGAGGGCGGGACGCGTCACGCTCCGTGACCCCGCCCCGCTCTTCCCGCCCGGCCTATAAAGGGTTTCCGGCGAGCCGCGTCGCGCGCGTAGTATCCGTGCGCCGGCCGAGCTCGCTGAGGGGGCGGCCGCCATTTTGTTCAGAGCTGGGTCTCTGCTGAGACCGGCGGTCGTGGGGGGGGGGCGGGGGGGAAACGAGGTTGTGAGGGAATAAGGAGAGCGGGGAGGAGAAGGGGAGAAACAAGAGAGAACAAGGAGAGAAGTCGGGTCGGCCAAGCAGCGAGCGGAGGGAGGGGAGCCGCGGGGAGGGGTCCGCCCGGCCGCTGAGAGGCGATGGCGGATATAGACAAGCTCAACATCGACAGCATCATCCAACGGCTGCTGGAGGGTGAGGGTCCGGGAAGGCATGGGGCGGGTGGCCGTGGGGTGGGTGGCGGCCGTGAGGCGCCTCCGTCGTCCCTCTTCAGCCGCCGCTGATGCACCGCGTCCTGCCCGCCCGGTGGGGTCGGGGGACCAAAATGGAGGGGTTTGCCGAGGCGCTTTGTCTTACCGGGGCTCGTCTCCGCCTCCCCCCCGGGCGGCTCGGCCCTTCAGCCACAACTTTTCCCTCAGTCCGTGTGTTTCCGAGCTGTTCCCTGCTCTCTGATCCCTTCTGCGCTCCCTGGTGCAGTGTTGGGACCAGCCGGCTGCCGCTCCTTCTCCTCCCCTGCAGCTCTTAAGGAGATGCTTAATTTAGTATAATTTTCGTAGGAAAGTGTTTAAAAACCCCTGGCTTTTTCTCTTGTCTTCCACGCATGCACATGGGGTCTGTGCTTTGGCTGGGTAGTTGTGGGGCTCTGGAAATAAGACCTAAAGAGTCTGTAGAAGCAGGTTTTGAAAAAGTCTTGAGATTTGTATGGGTTTCAGGCTGTCGTGGGTTTAGCTTTGATGAGCTGCTGGCGTTAATGCTACCATTGGGATTTGGCTCTTAATTTGTAACATATGGTGGCTTTTTAGGTGTGCAGAGAGGGTTGGGTTTTGGTGTTTCAGACAGTCTGTGGAAGGGCTTATTGTCTTGTATAGTTAGGGCTTTGGGTTGGCAATACTTGCTTGGGAATTTCTTAAAGGAAAAACTGAGAAGTTGCAGGGCATGTCTTCAGCATCATTCCTTTGGTTGCAGGGGTCAGCACCATGCTAGAACTGTCGGCTGATTGTAAGGCAAAAGGCGGAGAAGTAGCCGGTGGCGAATTTTCTTCTAGGCATCAAGGAAATTCATCATTCAGGGAAGGAAGCTAGCCTGAGACAGCCTCATTTCACATATGGCAGGGCAAAGCATCTCATCTGGGCTCAGGCTTGAAGAGCTGGGTCAGGGATTTAACTTCTTTCCATTTGGCATGAAGTCATGGGATCAATTGGGTTGGAATCTGAGATGTTGCTGAGACAAATGGTGAAGAAATGTCTTTCGGCTGTATCGCACCCTTTCCTTGTAAGATGTGGCTTGTGTAATAGCTTCGATAGCAAAAGGGCAGGCAGAGGAGCAATAGTGCTACTCTAGAAATTACTTGGAATTAAAAATCCTATAGATGCATTATGGGATTATTGAGCTTGAATAAGTAAAAGTAAATAGGGTTTTTCCTCTGATCTGTGGAGGTTTTTGCTTGTTACCAATTTAAGCTTCCCTGGTTTAAATTATTTAAAGGCTTCCTGTCATAAATTTAGACCAGGATTTTCCTAAAACTCTACTAGTGTGATTTGTAGATCCCAGGTCCTGGATGTCATATGATTGATGACATATTAATACATGCTCAGCTGCAGGTATTAATTACAATTATTATTTGATATCCCCTAGTGTAACTAGTGCAAATGATTAATATCAAAAACATGGAACAAGATAATCCTGGGAAGAGAATGAATCATTTTGAATTATTTCTCTTGTTTAAAGTTTCAAAAGTAGTGTGATGTACTGTGTCAGTGTGTTCTGTTCTTACCCAGCTTGTTTCAGTATTATACATTTGGAGGAGATGAGCGTTCATAAATCAGGCTTCCAAATGTTTCCTGACAAGATCTTCTGAGAGATGGTTCATGCAACGCAAGGTGTTACCTGAGGTTGCATCAGCTGCCAGAACTCTGAAAGTAATGTTTTTCTTCTATTGACATTTCAGCTGGGATTTTGGATGCCTTGAGGCAATGATTGTCTTTTGATATTTAAAATAATTACCAATGTTAGTAACCTGTGCTAGTGCTTTTTTGTTGCTTAATAAATGTCTGTTACAAACATCTTTGCCAGACAGAGTAATGATTGACCTTTGTGGCAGTCTGTCATTTTTATATCTTCTTTTCCAAAAAGGGCAAAAAGGTAATGCATTTTAGCAACCACTGCGATTTTGAGTGGTAAATTGTGTAAATTACTGTGCAAACATGGTTCTCCTCAGTTGTTTAAAATGTACTTCACGTATTCTTTCCCTGAAATCATTAAGGTCTGGCTGGGGTAAGTGATCTGAACCTCCAAGGTGGAGATTTGCATTGTGCTAAATAGAAGGGGAAAAAAAAGTAAAGTATGTGTAAGGATTCTTACCCTATAGACATTTGGAGCAAACAAGAGAGACTTTTTCACTGCAGTTCTGGTAGAACAACTGCATAATGTTAGTTACCCAAACTGGTGTGCCTCTGCCACAACTCTGTTAAGAGTTTCGACCTTTATTTGCGTGTAAATTAAAACCATACTCAAGCATGAAAACACTGCAAAATCTGCTTTAATAATCAGCTTACTCAAAGTTGTCCAAATCCTTATGCAGGCTTTAATTTTTAGAGCAGTATGGTCTTTCATTAGAGCTGTCGTTAAACTGTATGCTTTTTATAACAGTTAACTTTAGGTGATTTTGCTAGTAAAATAACAAACTCAAGTGTTAGGAGGTACTTGATGAAATACTTCAAATCAGTGAGAAACTACAGTCAAGTAGGTATTTGTGGTTTATAATACGCCTTAGTGTTGTGCTGTTGGAAGAGATCAAGAGAGCTTCGCTGGTAATAAGTCTGGTCTAATGGTCAAGATGAAGTGAGGAGTGATTAATGAATTACTCTCACTTTTGTTCTTAATACAGGGTATTAATAATGTATTTGTGAGGGAGGTTTACTTGTTTTCTGTCCTGACTTCTCTGATGAAGTGATACTATTCTTACTTTTCCCCCAGATAGTAGATACTCTCCCACCCACATTAGGCTAGTTAGCTGAAATTATTAGTTTGTTCTTTAAAAGCCCTGGAAGTGCCTTTTTAGCTTCTCATTCGAAGGTAAATATTTTAAGTCTTTCTTGCTCTAAATGTTAAGAGTACAGAGCCATTTGGCTTTGAAATGTCACAAGAAAACATTGTTCTCAACCTTGGAAAGCCATTCAGTAAAAACATTGAACATCCTGAGCTTTTTTGCTGTAATTGAATTTATACGGGATGTTTTACCTTCTTTACTAATGAGGTTTTGTTCTGCTAGGAACAATCTTGAGTACAGGTTGTCTAATCATGTTACTTTTAGTAACTGTACTAACAATTTTCACAAGAATAAGGCTTTTAAGGTATAGTAAATGACAGTATCCTTCACTGAGTATTGAAATGGTTCTGAAGTGTCCTTGATAGTGGATAAAGTCTCAAATACTTACAGAGCTAACTCACTTTACTGAAATAAGATGGGACAAAAGAGCAAATTACTCTCCTTCTAGGAAGAGTATTGTAAGACAGCAGGTTGATGGTTCTGAGTTTGCAGCTGTGTGTGGCTGCCAAGTCAGAACTGCCTCTAGACTAGAGGATGCTAGAAAAGCTCCCTGTAAGATGAAAAATCAGTGACATTTTGTACGGTCATGGAAGGGGTTCCAGGAAATGGCAGAATTCCTGCTCAGCTCCAGGTAAAAAATGAGTGACAAATCCTGAGATGCCAAGTATAAGCATGGCTTCCTTTCCGCGTCATGTCAGATGGTGTTCCTGACTTGAGCCCCTTATCAGTTTCCTTCATCGGCTGTGTTGGCAGCTTTTCACAGATAAGCGGGGTCTGGTTTGAAAAAGGAGCTGATAGTAGTGTAACTAGAAAACAAGATTGAAATGCATTAGTCTTACCATGGTAACGATAAATGACAGGGTAAAATAACACCATTCAGCATACCTAACTGGAACCAAAGTTGAAATACGCTTCTGAAAATATTTTCTGTGCTTCAGCCTCTGCTAATGCTATTAAGTGAAAACCAAATGATGAATGGAGGCTACTTAGGATAAAGCCATGTGAGGCTGGAGTGATGGTAGCCATTCTGAAAGCTAAAATCCTGGTTAATGCACTAAAATCAGCAAAAAGACTCTAAATCCTCAAACTTTTCTGTTTATACACCCACAGATTTCTATTCCTGGTAAAGCCTGTTGTATAGCTGTCAAGGAGATATTCTCTCTAATTTGCTTTTAATGGGGAAAGAGGATCATCCAGTTATTAAAAATAGTTGAACCAAAGAGTCTGGGTAAACTTTTGCTGACAACAGTGAGGGCTGTTTCTTAGAAATGCAGTTTTCCTCTGATATTTTTTTGTTACATGTTCCACTAAATACAGCACTCACTGGGCTGAAGGGTCACTTGCTATTCAGCTTCATATACTGCGATAAGTGCCTGTGATTCTCACAGTTGTTAATATGAAATGTGTTCGGATTTTACTTGAGATGGGTTGGGGTGCTCTGATAAAGTTTCTAATAGGCAAGCAGCACTTCTTGACCTCAAATAATATAATTTTCTGTAGTTTGTAGAGCTTCGTGTTAGCCATTTCCTGCTGTGTTGCAGCAGTTTATAATAACAGGAAAAATGGGAGCCCTGCGTTCAGAAGACGAGGACTAGATTCCTATCAGTGCTGTGGATTCAGTCACATTCTGCATTTACATCTCAGTCATTAAAGTGGAAGAATTTGTTATCTCTGAGTATTTGTGATGAGTGTGTGTTTACTGCATAGCTCTCTCCAGTGTGGAAGTAGACTACAAGATGAGAACTTGTCAGTGATGCAGAATCTTCTGTTTGATAATGCTGCTGTGAACTTTCATATTAAAAAGTAGACTACAAATTTCTCGGTTTAGAGGCTTGGACACTGAGGAGTTGCTTTTCAGTTTCACTTTTCAATCTAAAATGATCTGATCAAAGTTGGTAGTGCCTGCAAGAAAGGAAAACCTTTTCTACATCAGCCACTTTCAAGTTACTTTCTTTCATGCCGATGGTGCAAAACTGTCATAAGGAGCTGCTAAAAGTAAGGTGAAAAACAACCTGCAGTATTTTTGGAGATGTCTCTGGGATTGCAAACATCTTAATGTAAAAGGTGGTAAAATTGAGAGATCTGTTTAGTAGCCAAAAATGAACTGACCTCCTGATAGACGATTTTCTTTAAAACATTTTCGGTACAAGTATTTAATTTTGTATCTCAGTTGACAGCTTTTCAGCTGCAGCTTTTCATGTAATACAGGAAAATGAGATGTATCAATGAAATTTCCACTATTTTTGAGTTCTCTTTTTGAGTACTTCCCTAAGCATATGTCCCTTTCATGTTAACCTTGAATGAGGTAATATAATCAGTTTTATAATATCATTTGCCTTTGTTAAAGGGTTGTGTGGCACTAAGCAGAATATTGGGAAATGCTTGTGATTGGATGTGGTGCAGAAGTCTGTTGTACTCTATGTGCATGTGGTCTTCCGACTGTTGTACTCTCTAGATCCCATAGTTCTTAACCTATTTATCTTTCACAAACAAATGTATAAAAGTTATCCTGGGTGTCAAGCAGTGTTCTAGCTCCTGGCAGCTGCAGCTATGTTTTGTACTAGCTCCATTTGCTTGCACCAAGATGTCAGGGGTGCTGTAAAATTCTTGCTGCTCTTCCTTTTATTTTCCCCTGTCTGCTGGGGTGGCTGTAGCACTGCGCTCACCTCTGTGTAATACACTTATTTTAGAGCTGGTGTTGTTTGTTGCTTTCCTGCAGTTTTCCTCCTTGTCTTGGAAAGCAGTGTTAATTTTAACAGTTGGAACCCATGTTCAAGTCAGTACCTCTGCAGGCATCATCCAGGTTCCATGAGTGATCCTTTCTGGAGTCTTTTCTGTCCTGAGGAGAGCTTGTTTTTCCAAAACTTCTCATACTTGTACAGTGGAAAAGGTTTGTTAGAAGACTGCCCAGACTGGACACTGAAATTAAAGCTCTCAAAAAATCATTTTTAAGAGCAGTAGCATCTCTGAAAGAGGATGTGAATAAACTACTCTGGAAATAGTGCAGCAGTATGTGGAGACCAGGCACAAATAATGTATTACTTGAAATGGGCTGACTTTTTTTCTCAGCTGATTAATCATTAACTTGTTCCACTGCAGTTCCAGTCTGTTGTTTGAGAGAGGTTATTGTTTATGCGTTGAAAGAACAAATGTGCGAGTACAGCCCCATTGGCCTGCTCTTTTGACTTTATGACCAAGCTGCCAATTAGTATTGTACTTGTCTGATGTCTGTGAGCTGCTTTGGTTTGGTGCAAAGCAGAGAGGACAAACTGTAAACACAACATATTTTTCATAGTATATTATTTTTGCCTCTCTTAGTGAGATTAAGTAATGTGAAGGCTCAGAGAAATCTTTCTAAGTCCTAGAGACTGAACAGCCTGCATTTCATTGCAGATTAGAAAATCCTTGCACTAAAAATACAGATTTCTCAAACCAACATGCACTTCTGCATATTTGGTGCTTCTGAAGCCAAAAATATTTTTTCTGAGCTTCTCAGGATATATAGGTCAATGTGAGAAGAAGTTGAACATGCTTATTTCTTCTGTGCCCATTCCATGTTGGATGAGAGTGGTCTAAATGTCATTGGCAGGCAGTGTGCTACAGAGCTGAATCAGATTGTCCTGTTCTTCTTTCATCCTTCTGGTGTCTCTGCTAGTGAGCTTGTGGACTGCAACAAAGCATTTTATCTTGTCAAGGTTTTCTGCCAGTAGGTGACTAAAACTGCAGGAATATTATACTGGTTAAGTGAAAATATATTAGAGAAGCAAGGAAACTTGTATCTGAAAACAGTTTCCAGATTTCATTTAATCTTCAGCAGAAATGAATGCATATGCTTTATTCATGAGCTTTAGTGACTCAGTGCGTGACACAGTCCATATATTATTTTATACTTTATGGATGTGCAATACAGAGTTTGGTTTTAGCATTTTCTAACAAGACCAAGTCATAGAAAGTTAGATTTTTCAGCTTTTGAGAAAGCTAAAAACAAGTGTAGTGTATTATCTCAAAACCAAAGCTGAATTGTAAAATTGAAAAGCAGGGGAAATGTTAACATAATTCAGGCAGCTGGCCGCTTGATGCTATTAATTTCTGTTCCTTATTGCTGCTGGATAGTTGGCATTTTGAGTAACTTGCTCATTGCTTGGGAGTGTTTGGAAAATTACTGTATGGATGAAAAAATGATTGTGTGGATGAAAAGCCTCATGCATGATAAGCTGCTGTGACAAAGATGTAACTTTCATTTATATGCTCCATTACTTTGGATGTTTTAATGGAAGACATGAAGTTTAGTGGTAATTCCAGTGTTGTCATGTAATGTCAGAGCTGAGTGATAATACACAGGCAGTGAGTAGTGAAGGAGCATGTATTGCTTGAAAGATAACATTATGAAAGCCATGGCTTTTGACCTACAATTAAGTTAATACGACTGTTGGTATACATTGTAATTTGAACTAAATTTTAATTTGAAGCTTGTTTGAGGAAAAGTCTTGTGGTTTAGGGGGTTGTCCATGATTCTGTAGGGCAGCCTGTGCCACCGTGACCAGTACTTCTGGGAGTCAGTGTACGGGCTGGAATTGTGGTAGGAATGCTGTAAGTGCTGGTAGAAATTGCATCCAATGACACTTGATTTTATGGATGGATATTACACAAGCATTATTTTATTCTTGGTCTAGATAAGATGTATGCTGAGTCAGCAGTGTTTCTACTCTTAATCAGAGGCTTGCATAAAAGTAGGAAGCTTCTGTGCTAATGAGGAATTGTAATGCCTTTGGAACACAACAGCTTTTGTTCTTACTCTTCCTAAAACATGCCCCCTGCTTCCCCACTTTTCCTCTTGCATTTCTCTCTTCTTCATTCCATATAGTGCAAGGCCCGAAGTGACAGTACAGATATTTGAGTCTGTAGCTTCCAGATTTCTCGCTCTGAGGCTAAACAGTATCAAGGGAGTTAGACTCTAATGGTATCTGGAAGGTTATTTAGGAATTCGGGAAGGTAATATTGCATAGGTTCTTTTATTTGAAAGGGGTCAGGGGTTGTTGCTTGCTTTTTTTTGCAACTGAAGACCAAGTTTTTTTTGGGTAAGAGAATAAATTCTTCAGTTTCAATGCCATCTGAGTTGTGCACAGTAAGCCCCTTAACTAGGCAACATTTCCAGCAATGCTTCTGTTCTGGAGGTGTTGTTAAGAGTGTTTCAGGCATCTGAGGCTGAAGTTCTGAGGTCATTTGGCTTTGATGCAGCTCAGCCAATGGGTTATGTGGTAGAAGATGACTTTGCTTATTCCATAATCTTACTGGAGCTTGGAAGAGGTTTTTATTGCTTCAGCCTTATCTGTACTCTGTGTTGTTACTGGTTTGACACCAAATAAAAATAAGCTGTACCAGTAATGGCATAAACACCATTTTTATTTAGTCTTATCCTAACCCTGATAAAAGCTGCTGCGTGGAACTTGGCCATAGGTAGCGTATTGCTGCCATAGAAATGTCCTTTGTATTTCTGGGCAACAGAAACGGGGCATGGGGTGATAGGTAAATGGAGGATAAGCTGTGCTGGTGGCTGTAGAAACATGTCTGGGTCAAACTGGTGTCCTTGTTGTCCATACTAGGACAGAAAGCTTTGATAGATACTAAAGAGAACCAACTATTTTTGAATTGTTTTAGTGGGGGAGAGTGGAGCGTTAATGGAGGGGGTGAAGGACTGAGGGAAAAAGTAGTCTGAGGCTGGGAGATAAATGTCCTACTGGCTTGTCTTTTACTGTGCTCAAAGGCAATAAGGAGAGCTGTTTTGTCATTGTGATAAAAGAATATTTCCTTATGTATAGTTCTGACCTTCCAGTCATACCCTTGTTTTTTTTTTTCCATGGCTGCTAACTGCATTGTAGAATGGGGCAGTACAGTATTTATTGGTAGTGCAGCCTTGTTTAGATACTGTTTTGGGCAATTGTACAAGCTTCCCTAAACTGTCATATATTTCAGCTACCAGGTTGATGATTAAATGGGAGCCTTCCTTTTCCCATCTTCAGATGGCTTTCCAGAGAACAAGTGTGTAACTGCTTCAGTAAAAAAAAAAAGTCTATATAGTCTCATTGTCCAAGATATGTTTTATAACTAAAAGGACTAAACTGATGCTATTTAAAATGTGGCATTTAATGGGGGAAGTGTCAAGCCTTGAATTCTGTTAAAAGAAAGTAACATACAAATGAAACAGAAGACGCTGCCCTTTCTCTGGTGACAAGACAGTGCAGTTTCACCTCAGCAGACTGATATTACCCTGCTGTCATCTCATTCTGCATTGCAGTGGCATTTAGTCTCTTAAAATAACAGCAGGGTTGTTGATTTTGATAACTGAGTTCTGACTCCTTCCAACAGTGCGAGGATCAAAACCAGGCAAAAATGTCCAGCTTCAAGAGAATGAAATCAGAGGATTGTGCTTGAAATCCAGAGAAATCTTTCTGAGTCAGCCTATTCTACTAGAACTTGAAGCTCCACTGAAAATATGTGGTGAGTGCTGTGATCATGATTTGATACCTGGGCAGGGGGCGTCAGGTAAATGCAGCTCTTAAGCAGAGAACAAATGCCGAATGTTATTTTCACTTACTAACAGCAAAACTGATAAAGGATTGTAGCAAAAGGAAAAATAAACCCCTGCTGGATGCTTAGGGGTTTGGTTTCACCATACTTGTACACAGTGGCGTTCATTTTGCAGCACTTTCATGTCCAGTTATGCTAAAAGAATGAAGAATGTCAAAATGAAAACCTCAATAAATGCACTTTTAAAAGCTTCCAGTATTTTATCCTATTCCAACACTGAGGGATTTACGTCAGATTGAAGTAGATTGTTTAGTATTAGACACCGGTTGTCTAAAATTGAGTTAGATGCAACTGAACATACAGTTGGTTTCTCAGAATCTTGACTTTGTTTTACAAGTGTGAGTATTTCTAAGTAGCTACATACATCTTAGGGCAGTTAACCATTGTGTTACATAGATGCCAGACTTCAGAATGTAATCATTTTATATCCAGTAAGATAAACTGATTTTTAAGTATGTTGTATGTCACTGCAAGTTTTTCCTTTCTGAAGCATTGTTCCTTTGTTCTTTCTCTAGAATCAGACAAAGAATGTAGCAAAGGGTCACTTACATATCATTTCCAAATAATCTTTGCAGGTGATATCCATGGACAGTACTATGACTTGCTTCGACTCTTTGAATATGGAGGCTTTCCACCAGAAAGCAACTACCTGTTCCTTGGTGATTATGTTGACAGAGGAAAACAATCTTTAGAAACCATTTGTCTTCTATTGGCCTACAAAATTAAATATCCAGAGAATTTTTTCCTCCTCAGAGGAAACCATGAATGTGCCAGCATCAATAGAATTTATGGGTTTTACGATGAATGTAAGTAATAGATGTGTGCATCATCATCTGGGGATGATGATGATGATGCTGTATACTTGGGTGAAGTTAACCTGAAGAATGGGCTGGTGTTTACAGTGGTTATGTTACAGTGATTGCAGCTACTTCATATTAAGACCTGTAATGTTTAAAATAAACATGGCATTGCTACACAGTTAATGTACCAGCGCTGTCACTGCAGGGTGCATTGGTAGACCTTACCCTAACATAAGAAGCAGTTTTATAATGAAGTTGGAGTGTATGTTCATGTTTCAAAGGATGTGACTTAATCCAGATAATGTGAAGGAGATAAAACTGATAAATTAATTGTGCAGTGAAGCATTCTCACAACTTGCATTATGGGACAGACTTGGCTTGTAGCTTACAAGATGTACACTCCATGTCTCATTTCTCCTTCAGTGAGGAAACAAAGATGTGTGGTATTTCAGAGTTGACTCCTTGGAGATTAATCACAGGCTTAGTCATAGGTGGCAAATATGTTCAGGGTTCATGTCTGTTTGGAGAGTTGTCTTGAAAGTAAAACTGTAGTAGTTCCAATTTTCAGTCCTGTTTCTTTGCCTGGGGAGATTATGTGGTACAGCAGAAGAAAATCTGCTTTCCAGGAACTGCTGTTTTCCCTTAAAGAAAACAGTAAATGGCAAGTTTTTCCAAAATGGATCAAATTCTCCAAGGGATAACTTTCTGAAGCAGAGTTGGGACTGGAGAGTCTGGCTACCAGCAGTGGGATGTTGTTCTGTTGTCAGACCAGTGCTGTCCTCAGAGCTGCTTCAGAGCACTCTGCCACACTGAAAGAACCTCTGCAACTTTCTTCTGAGCAGTGAAGTGCGTCAGTGGGTATCAAGAGATAAATTGTGTATAGGTTTTAATGCTAACTTTTTGCAAGCTTTAGTAAACTTAAGGCTGTTAGGTTGACTGTAGTTGTGATGGAAAAGCATATTGACTGTTTTTATTCCAAAATGTCTTCCAGGTAAGAGAAGATACAATATTAAGCTGTGGAAAACCTTCACAGATTGTTTTAACTGTTTACCAATTGCAGCTATTGTGGATGAGAAAATATTCTGCTGTCATGGGGGTGAGTTCCTTAGTCAGTACATAAGAAACTAACACTCTAGTGTCAGTCATGGCAGTTTTATGTTTACGTTGGTGAAGCTTCAGAATCTGGGGGATTTTTTTCTCTGCCTTGGTGCATGCTTGAGGTAGGGTTGAGCTGGATTAGTGTCAGTTTGGTGAATCATTGAGCTGGTAATTTTGTCACTTCAGACACAATTATCTGCTTTTCCTTTTGTACCAGAAGGCACACTGAATAGCCTCTCCTTTTGAGTAAAGAGTCATTGTAGGTTTTTTTAGGCTTGCATGACTGGGAGTTTTATATGCATTGTGAAAACATGGTTTTTCGTAGAATCGAAGAATGATTTGAGTTGGAAGGCACCCTTAAAGATTGTTTAGTAGAATCCCCCCCTGCCAGGGCAGGGACATTTTTCACTAGACCAGGCTGCTCAAAGCCCTGTTTAACCTGAGGGGTTTGGAATTTCATTTGTAGAAGTGGGCTCTGTTATGCCATGTGTTACCTGCTTCATGCTGCTTTTCAAAGTAATGAAATACATATTGCACCTTAAATGTTTTATCACTTGCATGTGCCAAGAAATCTGTATCAGTGAGAAATGGTATGAGGTCTGTTTGACACTGTATTTCATCTTGGCAGGCCTGGTGGTTAAAATGAACCTACCAAGTGGTTTCTAGTATTAATGCCTCTTATTTAACAGCTCTTTTATCAGACACTTACAAAATACTACAGTGAGATTATAGTAATCCTGTAAAATGTAGAAATGACTTTGCTTATCTTGATTCCAGTAAATAATCTAGTAAATGGACATATCCACAAAGCGACTTGTCTTCTGTTACAAAAGCTTTAAAACGAAAAGCAGTTAACAGTGCAAGTGAGTTATGTAAAATCAGTTTGAATACAGATCGGTTTTGTTTTAAAATATTAGCTCAGTCTTGAGAGCAAAGTTGGATTAAGCTCTGAGCTGTGTGTGTCTTACAGGCCTGTCACCAGACCTTCAGTCAATGGAACAGATCAGACGAATCATGCGCCCCACTGATGTACCAGATCAAGGTCTGCTCTGTGATCTCCTGTGGTCTGACCCTGACAAGGATGTCTTGGGATGGGGTGAAAACGACAGAGGAGTGTCCTTCACATTTGGTGCTGAAGTGGTTGCTAAATTTCTCCATAAACATGACTTGGATCTCATATGTAGAGCTCATCAGGTATTCTAGTTTTGTACATTAAACTGTAATTTGGGTCCAGAGGGATCTGAGGTGCTTACCTGGTCCAACCCTACCCGCACATACTAAGTGCAAAACAAACCAGTGTGAGCCTGAGTTGCTGAGGATCTTACATCTGCAAGGGTCAAGATTCCACTGTCTCTGAGCAATTTGTCCCAGTGTTTAACAACCCTTGTAATGAAACTTTTTTTTTTCTTAATACATATAAACTGTTGCTGGATTCCTGATTCATAAACCAGACTGTCTTGAACCCAGCAGAATCCTGGTTTTCTCATTCTTAATGAACTCTGAACCAGGTCCTGCTGTGAGTTTCCTGTTCCAGTATGAAGGTCTGGAACTCATGTTCCTTAGATGTAGCCAGTCTGTCAGCAGCTGGCTGGATTAAAGCCGCTTTGCACTTTGGCAGGAAATTGTTCAGTCTTAATATTTCTGCTTTCTCCCTAAAGGTTGTTGAAGATGGGTATGAGTTTTTTGCAAAAAGACAATTGGTAACTCTCTTCTCTGCCCCAAATTACTGTGGAGAATTTGATAATGCGGGTGCCATGATGAGTGTGGATGAAACTCTAATGTGCTCTTTTCAGGTATGGTATCTGAAGGTTTCACCTACTGGTTAGCGCAGTTACACTTTAAATTTGTTCTGGTTAGAATCACTACTTCACTGTTACAAACACGTGCTGCTTGTTTCAAATGGATCTTTACCAACACGTAAACAGGGCTGTGCTTGCACTTACGTCTTCAACGATGTGATAAGCCCATGCTGATGTGAGTAGGTGAGCTGCTTTATGCTGGGTTTAAATCGTCCAAGCAGAGCTCTCAGCTGTCTGCCTGCTTCCATTGGTGCCAGCTCAGATCAGCTGCTCTCAAGCCCTTGTCTGAGCTCTGAGCAGGAAACACATTTAATTCCTGGTGTGCTGATGACTTGCTCAGATGAGCTGTACAGTGCTTTTACGCGTGAGTTAATTGCTTGCTGGTAAGAGAGTTAAAGCTTTGTGCTAAACACCTGAACTATCTTTTTCAGATTTTGAAACCTGCAGAGAAAAAGAAGCCCAATTCCAGCCGACCTGTAACACCTCCCAGGGGCATGATCACAAAACAGGCAAAGAAATAGTCACTTTGGCACTGCCTTGCTGGGACTTGTATCATAGTATATAACCTCCATTTTTAACACTGTCATGTGTACTGTTCAGCTTGCTCAAAATAGATAATGTGTTTGTGGTTTTACTTTTGATTTGATGAATGGCATTTGCTGGTTGTACCAGCAAATGAAAGACTTTCTTTTTCTCCCTCCCAGGAAGAAAGTTTTAAACTGTCCTTTTGCTGGTGTTACAGCTGTGCTCCACAGTGTCCCACATTCGGGGTAATCCTACAGCCGACTTCCTGACCTGTACAATGAGTAGTGTAAATGCTTGTTTTCTTCTTTAGGATCTAAAGAGGGCACTGGTGTGCTGTGAGAGTAGAGATTTGTTACTGTCAGAAATTACATACTGTTTATACAGACCACTGTGAACTTTTTTTTTTTTACATTTTTTGTTTTAAAGGGATTTTCTTTTAATGTCGTGTCACGTACACGTTTGTTTCATTGCTGTCAACATTAGAAATAACCTTCAGCCTCACCAGGCTTGCTGGGATGATGTATATTTAATTCAGACACTCCCCCCTCTCCGTACACTTCCAATGAGAATTAAAGCCATCATTTTAAGTGTTTGTGTCTCTTTCCTGAAGCCAAAGTTCGCTTTGCCTGTGACCCACCTCGCCGAGCTGGCAGGGCTCTCCTTTCATCCCACCTTCCTCTTGGAGACGGAAGGAAGTGCCGACTCAAAATAGCAAGTAGAAACGCTGTGCTGTTGGTCCTGCTGTGCTCACAGTGAACACGTTTTTGTACAGTTCCCGTGTGGTCGATCGAGTGGAGCATTTTCCAGCGGCGGCCGTGTCGGACGGACGGGAGCTACGGAGGTGGCTCTGGATCTGCCGGAACGGGGTTTGTGCATTTTAGCCTAAAGACTTTGTTCTACGAACGTAGACAATGGCTTGGGAAGCCAACCAGGGGCGTCGATCTCGATCTCCAGTTTCTATGAATCTCTCACAGAATCTTGTTTTTTAAATACTGTTAATCTTTTTTGGACGGATAACAGTGTACAATACCATGTAGTGAAAATCACTTATTAAATGAAGAAGTTGTTAAATCTTCTCAGTGTCAGTTTATCACAACATAAACACTCCTGCTCCCAGAGGATGTGACTTAGAGAAATAAATTTTTCTGGAAACCCCCACATTCTTGGTTTGGATTTGTGTGAGCTACCAGCACTAGAGATGTGTGCCGGGCACGCTCGGCTGTGTTCAGCTTTCTGTGGTTTGAGTGGGGTTGTTCACTCAAGTACTGCTCTGAGAAGGTTGTAGCTGAGGATGAGACCCATTTTCTCTGGTTCTTAATTAAACAGTGAAGGAGGAACCACTGCCAGCTGTTTTGTGGCCAGGTTTGGTGTGCCCTAGCCAGTGTGGGTCATGTCAGGGTGAAGGGTGAGGTGTGATGTGGGCTCTGGGCGTCTCACTCCTCCATTTGCCACTTTGTGTGCCTGTGGAAGACACTTTACGAGTCCAATGAGGTAGTGTGCCTGCTGCTGCAGGGGGAGATTGGGGTGAGCCACCAGTGCTGTTCTGGTGGCCACTGGCGAGTTTCCCCTTGTTTCTGGACAGAGCTGAGCTTTCCTGACAAGAAAAGCAGCCCCCAGCCCCCATTACTTTAACGTAGTTCTCTACCAAATCCAAAAACATTTTTCTTCCTCCAGGCACCTTGTCCCCTCTACAGCTAATAACCCAGCTCTTGGTAACTTCTGATGAACTTGTTACATCAGGTTTTGGTGATTGCCTGTCACAGGCTTCCTTACCACCTTTTGCCCTTTAAATCACTTCTGTGGTTTTCTTTACTGCTCTGATTTTAATCCCTCCTAGTACAATAGTCACCTGCATCTCTATAGATCTAGTGATAATGGAGCACAAGTGGAAATGGTTTTATGTGACCTGTGCCAAGGCATGCATTAACCCATCTGCAACTGTTCCCCCCCCCCCGACTGCTGTGCCTGTCGCTGTGTCACATCTTCCTCTGCGACTTGTTTCCTTCTTCTCTCCTCAGATGCGGTTTCAGTGACACGCGCCTGGTCTGGGCTGCGTTCCCTGGCGCTGCTCCCGGATCACGGCTGCTCGGGGTGAAGGAAGTCCCATGGCAGTGGAAGGTTCCTGTCCCACCCCAGAGGAGGAAGGGAAGGCGACTTGCTGCTGGCACTGCGGGTTGCGATCAAAAGCTCAGAGGCAGGTTTTATTCCCATTTCTTGGGGATTTTTGATCAGTGGAGGGAGAGAGGGAGCAGCAGGCACAGATTTCCTATTGTTTTTCCATAATAATACTTGCAGGATCATCCAGTTCAGGAACAGCAGGTGCTGTGGCTCCAGCAGGCACTGCGCCCTTGCTGCAAATCTCCACCAAAGCAGGACAGTTGTGATAAACCCGAGTTATCTTCAGCCCTGGCCTTGTGCTGTACACCCAAGTCTAACCTGAATGTACTGCTCTGACAAAGAGTGATGAAATCTGAGGTGGAGCCCTGTGCCTGTTCTCCACCTGGGAGGCGCACAAGGATGGACCATTGGGATGAGGTGCTAGAAAACGCTGAGGTTCCAGAAGATTTAGGCACTCCCTAGGAGGAAACTTTCCAAGAAACAAGTGTCTTTGGGTGTTAGAAGTGCAAAAGGGGGAGATGCTTCTTCATTTCTTCAGAAATACCTCAGGTTTGGCCCAGCAGAGATGGGTCCCTGATCGTTCTTGCAGTTGAGTTTGCTTAGGGCACTTCCCAAATGAGCTCATGTTTGTAGATTGAAGGGAGCCCTAAATAAGAAGAAGCCTTCAGATAAAACATGAGCCTGTAAGTGGAGGCAGGTTAATCCCGGCCTCATTTCTAGGTTTTAAACTTCTGTAATCCATGCGATCCCTGGGCCTCCACCTCCTCTGTGGGACTGATCTGTGTCCCTCCCTGCTCGGCAGCCGAGCTCTGATCCCAGCAGAGACTCGATTTGATTTCAGAGCTGTGCTGGATCTGGGGCTGGTTAAAACTTAAAGAGAACAGAAGTCTGAACCACGGTCCTGCGGGTCCTATTCGACAGCTCCGGGACGCGCCGTAGGGAGCCGGGGAGGGGGAATGTCGGATCGGGGACCGGGGCTCGGGACCCGTTCGGAGTCTTCCGGGCGGGGCCGGTCGGACGGTGGGGCCGGCCCTGGCTGGGGGGCGGAGCCGGGCCGGGGGGAGGCCGCGCAGCACTGGGGAGCGCGGGGCGGCGGGCGCAGCCGGGACGCGCACGGTACCGGGGGCAGAGGGGCCGGGACGCTCGCGGGGCTTGGCGCGGTGAGTGCCGGCCTGGGGATGGGGTGGGGTGGGGTGGGATGGGAGGTGCAGCAGGGCCTCCCCCCGGACCGCCACGTCCTTCGCGGTAGGGGTCTCGCCGGGGCCCGGGGCTCCGCCCAGCCCCAGGAGCTGACCGGTTGCTCCGGTCTCAGGGAGGTCGGGGAGCTCCGACGGCAGCGTCGGTCCCGCTTGCTCCATCCACCGGTGACGGCTCCAGGCCCCGAGGGCTGAGCGAGCCCAGAGGCCATCCCGCAAGAGGCTGGGGGGGGGGGGGGGGGTCGATGGTGGCGAAGCAGCTCCCTGCGGGGCTCCACTGTGCTCCACTCAGCGCCTGGTGGTCTGGAATGAAGGTGCTGTATCTGTGAGGCACCCCTACATTGGGTAAGGAGGTGCCTTCTAAGGCCACCCCTGCTGTGAGTGGAGCCCAGGGTGGCCCTCCAGGACCTCCAACTGCAGGGAGTGAGGGGAGGCAGAGCAACCCGGGGGCACGGGCAGACCCACGGGGGCTCCCTTGGGCACAAGTGGCTTGTGTTGAGCTCTCCAGATGGCTTTGGCAATGACGGATGCATGGACAGCCTCATTGAGGATGGGGATGTGGTTTTTGGCAGGATTTGTGGGCCAGGCAGCCCAATGAGGAAGGGTGAGCTGTGACCAGGGAACAGGACAGCGGGTGCAGATGGAACCTCTTCTGCAGTTGTCCCCAGTGTCGAGCTGCAGCCAGGATCATTTGTGGATTTGGGGTTGGTCCTGGCCCTAACCGGGCATCCATAGGGACGGGCTGAAGTCAGGATGCCTGAGGGTGATGGAGGGTGGATGGAGGATGCATTCTGGAGGATGCAGGGAGAAGAGGTGGGTTTGTACAGCATTGCCCACCATCCAGGCTGAAGTGTGGGAATTGCCTGCTTATTTTGGCTGTAAAGGGTAAAACGATTTGGGACCCTGATGTTAAAGAAGGGAAGTTACAGCTGTTTCTCAGGTCAGTGTTGTGGCAGGTGGGTAAGGATGGAGGGTTAGCCCAGGGCAGCTGGGCTGCAACTGCAGCCACTGGAAGGGCAGTATCAGACCCGTTGCTACAAGCAGCCTGTCCTGGTTGTGTAAGTGATGAGAAAATGAATGAAGGGGAGGAAATCACTTGCTTCCAGCTTCTGACCAAAACCAGGGCCTACTAGAAACACAGTGGCTCTTTCCAGTGGGAAACTGGCAGGTGCCTCTTCTGGCATCATGAGATGTGAGGTAAGGGCGGGTGTTTTTTCCTCCTGTAACCAATGCTTTGTTTGGAGATGTTTGGAAATACCTCACGAGCGAGTTCCTCATTGTAGAGCAGCAGACGGGGTGCAGACAGCACTGGGGAAGGCAGCGGGGGCTCCATGTCGTGCCGTGGGAGGTGATGCAAAACATGTGGCTCCACCATTGAGCAACTTCCCATCAGCAGGGCACGTCCACGCCACCCGCCTGGCTGTGCCTGAGCACTGTCACACTCCTGTCACTTGCTGTGGTGAAAGGAAAGGGATTTGGCATCCTTGGTCAGCCCCTCGCAGGGAGGTGATGCTCTGTTCTTGTCTCTCAGGCATTGGCAGGGTGATGCCAGCTTGATCCAGAGCCATGTCCAGGTACCTGAAGCACTTCACAGTGGTGGGTGATGACCCAGTGCAGTGGAGTAATGACTATCAGAAATGGGAGGAAGAGGAGGAGGATGCTGGGGAGAAGCAGCCAGATTCGGAAATCAAGCTGGAGCCCACCAGGAGGGATGTCTCCTTCCAGGACATGATGAAAAAGCTCTTCAGCTCCCACAGGTTTCAGGTGAGGCAGAACAAACCTGGGCTGAAGGGAGATGAGGGTGAGATCTGGCCAAAGGCACTTGTGATGAAACTGATGTGGGATGGAGCTCGTGAGCAGTCACAGTGCTGCAAGAGTGGCTCCTGCCTCTGAGCTGAGCTGTCCCATGGGAACACAGTGCTCCACAGCCAGTGCAGGTGTTTCCTGAGCAGTGACAAGCCTCAGTGCATGCTGCTCACAGCTCGAGCTCCCCAAGACACCCCCTATACCAAGCACTGGGCAATGACTGGGCTTGGTGGGCACCCAGGAGGTTTTATGTGGGTGAGACTTCACAGGAATAAACCCACTGACCCGGGGCTGCAGGAGTGGAAGTGCTGGGTGGGAGCAGTAGAAAGCTCCATCAAGTACAACCAGCTGAACTGGGGACCCAGGGCATTGAGGCATGTTTAGCTGAAGGCTGTATTGGCTCCTCTTGCTGATCTGTCTGTGCTGGGTGGGGGTTTATATTGGTTCTTCTCCTCCAACAGATCTTGGTTGTCTGTTTGGTCATCCTGGATGCCTTGTTGGTTCTCGGGGAATTGCTTATGGACTTGAAAATCATCCATCCGGACAAATATAATATAACCCCAAAGGTAAAATGCATGGTGATTTCGCTCTCTTTAGTGGTTCAAAGCCTACTAGATGGGATGACTGGGCAAAGCAGGACCTGGACTTTAAGCTGTGCTGAGGCAGCAGTTGCAGGCACACAGATGAAGGCCTCACCAAGACTTGTGTGACAGCCCCGCCGTATGCGGGACCAATCTGGCTCAGTTCATGCCATCCATGCAGCAGCCTTGTGTTTCCTTGGGCTGCAGGAGGGCTGAATCACTCTCACCACCCTTCTCTCAGTCATCTTCACACCTTCAGTCCACTGACAGCCACATGCTCTGGTTGTGCTTTAGAGCAGGAGGCCCCAGCCCTTCCCCTTGTACAGCCAAACCAGACATGCCCTCGCATGTAGGAGGTTTTCCAGGCTGCCCTGCTCATGAGCATGCAGGAGGGTTTCCTGACCCTAAACTTGCACTGTCTTTTCCCAGGTTTTCCACTACCTCTCCCTTTCCATTTTAACTATCTTCCTGGTTGAGGTGGGGTTTAAAGTGTTCGTGTACCGCCGAGAGTTCTTTCACCACAAGTTTGAAGTGCTGGATGGGATCGTGGTCATTGTGTCCTTCATCCTCGATGTCGTCCTCATCTTCCGGGAGCATGAGTTCGAAGCTGTTGGGCTCCTGATCCTGCTGCGGCTGTGGCGAGTGGCCAGGATTATCAATGGTAGGTGTGAGCTTCCCCTGCTGTATGGGCTGGATTTGCTGACCTTTCCTGCATTACCTGGGCTTAGGTCTTTGTTTCCTTTTCAAAGTCATCTCCTGGACCCCATGGTCTTGCTCTCCCAGAGAACTCAGTTTCATCCATCTGGTTTTTGTTGCTGGAGCCTTAATTTGGGTGGAATTTCTTTGGAGCAGCAATAATCTGCTGCTTGTGTTGGTGTGATCCTTCAGTGATGGCCAGCTCTAGCATGGCAGCATCAGGCACATTCCCCTTAAAACAACCTATAATCTGCTCTTGCATCCTGGAGGGAATGGCTCATGTCTTTGGTTTGCATGGTAGGATCCTTTTGGTGATGTTTCAATAAGGGAACAGGGTAAAACCCTGCCTTCCTGAGTTGACTTTCATGGCAGAGTAGGTCTTGCTGCTCTGATGTTCTGCTGTGACTCTGTCATCCCCTGCAGGGATGCTGCAGGGAACGTCCTGATCCCACTCTGGATCTTTCTTACTTGGATTCAAAGGGTTTATCATAAAAAGAGGAATATAAATATCCCCAAATCAGACTTTACTGAGTCTGCTTTTGTAACTGTAATTGTTGCAAATAGATGTGAATTCAGATACTGCCGAAGCAAGTGGAGCTGGAAACATCTTCTCCCTTCTCGGGGAAGGAATTTTGGGAGTAAAAAAAAAATGTGGCAATGAGATTATCTCTAATTCCTGCATGAAACCTCAGCCTAAGTGCTGTCCTGTGCCTACGAGTCCATTCTTGGTAAGTACTCTGCACTTGATGCAGCTCCAGGTCTTATTAGTTGGAATGAAAGGCAAGGATGGCTGGGGCCGTGTCCTTTGCCTGCAGCTCCCAGCTGATGTTTTCATGGGGAGAACATCCCTGATCAGCAGAAGTGTCCGGGAAGGGGGTAAATGTGAAAGCAGCTTTTGTGGTTCTTTTTAATTCTAGTGAAAGTCAGAGAGAAACTGAATTTGCATGCAGCTGCCTGACCTTGGAATCTTGGTGTCTCTTAACATGCCATTTTACAGCAGAAAACCAGTAGTGCATGTACAAGTAAATCCCCTTAATCCTGGGGTGCTCCTGGTTTCCTCCCAAAGCTTTTCACCATGCCCACTTGGAGGAACAGAGAGGACAAAAAAAACCTGCCCCAAGCTTTGGTGGTGTCTGAGCCGTGCACAGTTCATGGTTCACTGCCCATAGGGACCGGGTTACAGGCAGGTGTGGGACTGTTTGATGTTATCAATGCAAATAAGCAGCATCACTGCTTTGTCTTGAGGGAGGAACCTCGAAGCCCAGCCTGTAGCACTGGAAACACCGCACGCTTCAGTGCCTGCCTCTGTGCACGTTGTTCTGTCAGCAGCCGGAGGAGAGCTCCGCTCAGTAGGAAGAACGTGATGTTCTTGATGCTCTTACCAGGCTATTTTGGTTTTTCCCCCTCAGAAAAGGGTGGGAAGAAAATGTCTTTACTGCGGGGGCTGAGTTCACATGTAAGAACCTCACGGTATTTCAGTAGAGAAGTGACACCTCCACTGGAATGAGCATACTCTTTGTGCAGCTGTGCAAGGTGAAGCCAAAACACCTTGAGGATGATGTGCTGTGTCCATGTCCTGTTCCACAGGGCCAGAGCAGTCAGCCCCAAGGGTGAATGAGCCTTGTGCCCAGGCTGTGATGAGGACAAGGCTCCCCACTACATGAAACCAGCTAAAACACAGCCCCTTTTGAGTTTTGTTGTCAGCAAAGCTGCCCCCAGTTACATCCCCCCAGGCTGTGCCAAGGGAGCGAATTCAAATTGAGGATGTGAATGGCAGTATGATTAATTCAGCTCAGCGGCCAGACTGCCTCTTTCCAGCAGGGTATTGGTATCTGAATCCCTGGGGTGGCTAATTTCAAACCCTCCTCATTAAGAAAAGCACTTGGGAAGAGTGGTTTGGAGATGACAGAACCAGAGCACGAGAGAAACACATTTAACTCCTTGAGTACAGACCCAGTGTATTGTTAACCTCCTGCTCGGGGCTGTTTTGCATTGTAAAACGAATCCACTGTGAATTGTTTCACAGGAATCATTTTATCAGTGAAAACCCGCTCAGAACAACAATTGTCCAAGCTCAAGCAAATAAACCTGAAACTTGCCACAAAGGTTGAACAACTGGAACACAGCTGTGTCGAGAAGGTAAGAAAACAATTTATATGAGGTTTACCTGCTGGCTGCTCCCCAGGGTGAGCTGCTGGGAACCTTTTGCAAGGTTGCTGCTCTCAGCTTAGTTTCCTCATCAGAAAGTTGTGGGGCTGAAAAGCCACAACCCTGCCTGTACTTCCCATAGCAGCTCCTCTTGCAAAGGGATGACGGCTGCCTCTGCCCTATCCTAGCGAGGTCATCCTGTTTTACAGCAGCTCAAGATACATTACAGCAGTGGGAAGATCTATGGGAACCTGCAAAACTATTTTAAGGTAACAGCTCTATGAATGATTTGATTTTTGTCTCCTACAGGAGCAAGAAATTGAAAGGCTTAACAAGATACTAAAACAGCATGGACTCGTCAGCGAGGAAAAGTAGGCGGCTGGTTTTCCGAGATGGGAAATCTGCCCTGGAAAGTGCAGTGTTGAAATCTACCAGACTGACCTGCAAGGTTTTTGTGTGTCTTTGCTTTCTCTTGTATAAGTGTTTTCTATAAACATTTTCTATTTGACCACGCTTTGATTAGACCTTGGGATTGCAAAAACACTTTTGTGGAAAATTAATCCCATGTCCTCCCACAACAGTGATTTCATAAGACCTTCCTTGCACAGCTGTACAGCCCAGACTGCAAAGTAATTTAATAAAGACACATCCTTACAAGCTACAAACCCATGGAAGTACCACTTATTTGAAATAAGTTCATTTTTTTCCAGTGATAATGTTCTTTGTTTGTAACATCTTGTACAAACTGGCAGTACCACTGATAAGAACCCAGGCTGAAAGGTCATTGCTTCCCAACAAGATGACCATTCACCACTGGTACATCTCTCCTGTGCCAACCATTCTTTTCGTAGTGTTGGTAGTTTCCTCATTTCTGTTGCTGCTTCTGCCACTTTGATATTTATATAAGGCTTGTTTCAGAAATACCAACACACCACTCCCGTAGTTGACAATCAAATCAGCACCAAAATAGAGGCCAACACGTGCCATCTTACGTCAAACAGCGCCTTGTTCTCAGCAGCAGATCTGACTTCTGATACTGCATTCTCTCATCCCTGCTTCCATTTTAAGTGTCAGTTTGCAGCCCGCTGAGCTACGAAGTTCTTTGTTTCCACAGCTCATAAATCAATGCATTAGAAGAACTGGAATATGTGAGAACAGGTGTAGGTGAGTGCACTGCTGGGAACTGCGAAGACTCCAGAAAAGCCATTTAGAAAATGTGTTCTGAAGGACCAGGCTGGTGTTTGAACACTTTTCAGGTACTAGAAGGTCTCTGTGGAGAGACTGTTTCACAGTAGAAGATTCAGTAAGTGGGAATTCTGAAAGGTGTTGACTGTAGCAGGCATCTCCAGTTGATTTCAGCTGGAATGGCCATTGAGCTCTCCTGAAAGCATCACTTAACTGGTCAGATTTGTAAAGAAAGGTATAATTAATCAGTGGTTTGGGGAAAATAGCTAGAAATATGTGGCTTATTCATCTACAAAAATAGTTAGAGCCTTATCTAATAGCACATGATTACTTTAATTAACAATTTAGTTTTGCTATTCACAGAATAATGAAGCCTACTTTCCTTTAGAGCTGTCGCTTCCCCTCCTGCATCCACACTGCTCAGCAGAGCAGCCAATGTGGTGGGAGGCTGGTGGCTCTGCATGTGCTGACTGGGCAGCCAGAGCCACCAGCAAGTTCAGACTCAAGCTTTTTTCCTCCTGGCAGAGGTAGAATTGGGAACTTTCCACTTAATGTGGGGGTTTTTCTGCCCTAAAGCTTCCGAGAGCCCTCACAAGGATTCACCCTTTCTCTCCTGGGCTATTTTAACCCAGCAGGTTGACAATTCAGAACCAACTGATGGCTCTTCACAGCGACTGGATAAACCTCTCTTCTTTAGGAAATGAACTCCAAGTCAGAAAAAGCAGAAATGTGGTTGGTTTGAGGGGTTTTATGAATACTTACCTCAGACAAACGGGAAGAAAAAATCAAAGGGTAACTTGGCATTAATGGTGGGCCAGGCTTTATAGCCTGGCTCTGCAGGTAACGAAACATCCGTGAAAACAACAGAACTGGTTATAGGAATAGTCCTTTCCCTTCCTGAGGGAAGCTGCAACGAAAATACAAATGGTCATTAGCTTCAGCCTTCTCTTTGTACAACTGCTTTGTTTGTGCTGGGTTATATTCTCAGCTGTTACTTGTAAAAAGTTTGTTTTTTCATATACAGCTCCATGTGTTTTCATGAATGACGTATAGTTTTTTATTGAAGTGTGTTTTGGCCAGTAGCCCACAGTTGTGTTTGAGTTGGAACAGAAACTGTTGGATATAATAGAGTCTAATATGAAGTGCTACTTTTAGATAAGGAGATTAACTGGGTCACTGTTGCAGAGCTGATACCTAAGCAAAACAAGCCATTCTTTTTGTCTTAGGTCCTGTAATTGAATTACATACCTGCTTTAGTGTGGTGGTAGTGATCGTTGCTGTAACATTCACTATTCTGGCTTGTGGATTGACTAGGGATCCATATTTAGTCCACCTCACTTCTATTTCAAGTGATACCGGTATTTGGCATGAGCTCTGAAAAGTGTTATAAATTCTCTCATTGTCTGACTCATACAGAAACAGCCACATTAATTATTCATGTTATTAAACTGGCAGAATGCCCCCACAAAGCTGGCTCCAGGAGCTTCCCAGTACTCCTACACCATGCCTGTGCCCTGGACTGCTGCCTCTGCAGGCAGCACAGGCATTGCAGCCTTGGCTCAGGGGTGTCCCAGCAGTTTCTCCATAGGTGACAAACTGACCCTGTAAACAGCACTTCAAGCAGGGCTGTTCTACCTGAGGCAGGACTGTGACTCTCAGTGATAGTGCTGAGCTGGCTCTTTTTAGTAGGAAGACTTATTTCAGCAGAAATCCTTAGCTCTGTCAGGGCAGAATTTTGAAGCCTACAATCTTAGGTATTTTTAGGTATTTCTTTGTGAACTGTCAAGTTTCTGGTTACAGAAATGATTCACTGTTTAGTTGCAAAAGCCTGTTAGAAATCTATATGCAAGCTGTTGCTGAGGGCGTGCTGCCATTCAGCACGTGCCAAGCAGCACTGCCTGACACCAACAGCAGGATCTGTGCTGTTGGGAGGAGAAAGACTAGTACAGAGAATGTTAGGAATTAATGTAGTGTTTGGGTCACTCAAATATACTGTTTCTGTGCTTTAAAGGATTCTTGCTCTTACTCTAACCTGATATAAGCACCAAGGACAAGCACTGATTCTGTTACTTTGCTCTTTCAACCATACCTATTGTGCTTCATCCCCATCTGAAGAGCAAGAATCTAAACTGGCTAGAACTCATTCTGTACCTAACATGTTGTCCTGATTCATAACTGAGAAGCCTGGATAGCAGCTTGATTAAAGGTAAACCCTGTCTTCTAGAGCAAGAGCTAAACTCCTCATTTGTGACTATCCCAGGAAGTCATTCCTCCAGTTTGTCTCTGCATTTTTTTTCCCTGTAGGTCCGTATTTTTCCCTGAGAAGCCCAGGCTGGCGCTGCAGTACATGTACAGGTAGAGGTCTCAGGAGGGAGGACAGCAAGAGTGAAGGGGACAGTGGTAGTGGTGTAACTTTCACCTGTTCTGAAATGTAGAGGTGAGTTATCGGCACCCAGTCAAGCACATCCTGGGCTTGAGAATTCCCAAATGAAGCCACGTAGTCAGGGAAGCTTTGTCCTTTCAGTAGATCCAGGAGGGCCTGAGTCAAAGGCTGGCATTTCATAGCTGCTGTCATTCTTCCAGGGAGAAAAAAAGAGATGCATTAAAGCAAAATCTATCAGTTTGGCACAGTAATAATTTCTCCTTGCTCTCATGCGCTGTTCAAGCCTTCTGGCTACAGCTGCTAATGTACACAATCTTTTCAAGAGAAAGACCCTTATTAATTAAATGACATTTTTTATAATTAAATACTCCATTCCCAATACTCCTCCAGCTGTATAAATGTCCCAGGACCTGAAACAGATGCTAATGGAAAGGGCTGTCAGCAAGTTTAAAAGCACTAAATAATAAAAGAAATGGCCTCTTACCGTAACTTACAGCCTGATATCATGTTATAACCAAATAACACTGGGGCTCTGGCTCCCTGTGCCGCCAGACAGTCCTGGGCAGATGTACTTTGCAGGATGGTAAGTTGACTGTATTTGTTAGTATTTTGAATGATGCCAGATGTAACACACGGTTAAAGGGAAATTCAATACTTGATGTATATCGTGAAGAAAGAATCCTCAGTCATATCCTTAAAATATAGCTGAAAATGCTACAATAGCTCAAGACTCCTCTTACACTGCAAAGAAGCACTGGAGCGTACAAAGAAGGTCTGAATCTGTTTCACTAAACAGTCTCAGGAGATTGCAGTCAGGACTGAGTCATAAGCCACTTCTAAAATACAGCCCAAAAGCACACTTTTACACTGGGTAAAGAACAGATAATGTATTATAGATGCCCGTGCTAGAAAGTGTTTGTGAGGCTGGACCAGTGAAAGTGCTGCAGACAATTTCAACAGGGAAAGGATATCCTTGTGTCCGGAAGCCTGCTCTTACAGGCAGTCCAACAACATAACCAGGATTACCACTGAGAGGAACTGGTGTTGTATTTACCTGCAATGCAAACATACGGTATTAGTTCTCATCCTGTACTGAAATGGTTGGAAAACATAGAAATATTTCAGTTATTTTAGGATTATTAAGGATTGTTCAAGGATTGCCTTGAACAATGATAGTGGTAAGATGGTAACAGTAAGCTTGTAACAATTCTCTTAACATTGGTGCAGGCTTTTCTGTCACTGGATACAGTTATAGAGAGTCACAAGATGCATCTTCCAAATGTGAAAACCAGACTTTGGAGGCCATTATTGCCCAGTTCTCCGGTGCTGCCTCATTTGTGTACCCAGAGCAGGTTATATTTTACCTTGCTGCTAACAACTGTTCCAATTCAAGTTTAATAAGTTTTGTAATTAAATGTCTTTCACCAAGTCACCCGTAACATCTCCAGCAGTTACCTGAGTAAAGCTGATTTCGAAGCTCTGCTCTATTGAAAGTGCTTCTTTGTTAATTGCCCCCAAGACAAAAGCACCAGCTGCTTCTATTATTTCTCCTGCATCTGTGTATGTAATGTGATAGCTCACCTGAAAATTCAACATTTTAGATATTAATTAGAATAAATACGTAAGAGGATGAAACTAGAGAAGAGGAATTTAGAAGTATGCAAATATTTTTTCTTTCTTCCTTGCTTAAGGAACACTCAAGTACACAGTAAAGCCTCTAAAGGCTGGAGCCTCTTCAAAACTGGCTTCTTGGAAAACCTCTTCTAAGCATAAGGCCAATGTTCATTTAAGGTTTAAAGCTGAGATGACGTGCACTGTGTGTTCCTCTGCCTCTGTCACCACTGTGCCTGAAGTCAACATCTCCCAAGCATAATGGAGAGTCTAAGCTCATTTTATTATCTGTTATGCCATATACACACAGTCATAATAGAAAAGGATTTCATCCTGTCTCCATGTTATGTTGCATATAGTTATTATTTTGTTGCAAAATACTCCCGTTTTCCCAAAGTCAGTGTTTCTCCTGTCACATTTGCTTGGGAGATGTCAAATACATGGAAACCATGCAAGGCCCTTCTCACATCTTTGCAGTTTGTGACTCAGAAGTGATTTGATGCATAGATGCTTTCCATCAAACATGAGGAGAAAAAGAACTGTCATACCTACCCCAAGAACTACATTTATGCACAGTTCATCCAAAATCATGGGGAGCCTGAGGACATCACTATCATTAAGTAAAGTCCGTGTTCCATTTAGAGACTGGACAGATATGGACTGGACAGAAATATTCACCTGAAAAGCAAATTCATGTCATTTCTGAGTATTGTGTAGAATTATTTTTGGCTTTTTTTGTATTGTATTTGTGACCCTTCTGGGTTCTGTCAACAGTCCTCAGAACAACTACTATATTACATTCTGGTACCATATTTTTACTGTAAAGATTAAGGATAAAGTCCCTGTTCTGATGAAGTCAGTGAAAAAAGCTCCCACTGACTATAACCAAGTAAGAATTTTTCCCCCAGCTCTTCCCACTAAGTTAGAAGGATACTCACCATCTGACTTGACTTAGGCACCTAGGGAAGAATAAAAGAGCACATTTAAATGACAGCAAACATGACTTAATACAAGGAACAGCTAAGTAAAGCATTTAAGGCTTAACTGCTTTGCCAATTTAACTCTCTATCATTACAATAACTTTTATATCATGGAAGTTATTGGAAATACAATACGGTAGTGTGAAAACAATGGCTGCTCTTCATGGCTAGTAGGCAAAATCTTATAGTCCAGTCCTCTTCTTCCTCTGACAGTTACTGGAAAATGTCTTAGTGACTTCCATTAGTTTTCCCTCAGGCCTAGCTAGACTACATCCCCAACAAACATCTACTGCATTCGTCAAGTAGTAGATGAATCCAGTGTTTCCCTTGGACACTGTATTTGCAACTCAGAAACACTGGAAAAGTTTACTTGCATCAGAAAGGTGATGACTGTTATTGTGACCCATTGAGGGCGTCAGAGAACATTGTTCCTACTGCAGCTCTGTGCAACACCACTTGTAACTAACCGGAGACTGCCAGTTCAGGAAGTCTGCCAGGCTGTTCCTTCCCGAAGGAATAAAGAGGTTTTGTTGTGCCGTTCTGATAGTAGTAAGTCCATAGCTTCACAGTACAATGAAATGAGAAGCAAGTATCCCTCTTGTAATACAGCACATGGACATGCACAGTTGCCCCACAGGAAAATTTCCACTGAAATTTCATGGAAACACAGAAATGTCAGCCCAAGGTCATCAGTCATATTTATATCTACACCTTGAGGTATAGCTCAGCCATCAGAATGCCCCTGGGTCTGCTGGACAGGCCATGGGAGAGAGCAGAGATTAAGTGCCACAATTACCAAGAGCTTCATATCCCTCAAGCTGCCCGGCCTGGCAGTGAGTATGGGTTCATTATGATGGGGTTTCTGAAGGAACTGCTGTACCAGTCCTCTCACCGGGGGCTCCCCGGGTTTCTGCCGTATCTTTTGCCAGCAGCTCCACCTGCTGGCACTGGAAGGGCTCCCTGCTCTGCCCTGTCCCTAGTACCAAGTCACTTTTCTGTTGTCATACCCATCTTCAGCTCCCTTTGGGAAGGGGAGCTTCCTACAGACCATCTCCAGCATCTACTCAGCGCTCTCCAGTTCTTGCATCTGATCCTTCCTGAATGTCCAACGTACTTTGGACAGAATTCTGGCCTCTCCTGAGCTGGGCTGCTGTCACTGGCAAGCAGCACATGGGTTCTAGTGAGAAAGGGGAATTCACCTTTGAATTCAAAAACATTCATCTGCTTGGAGCTTGTCCTGAGGCAAGCTTGTTATTCCTGGTTCTACAGCCACCAAGAACGTCAATTCTGCATACACACAGAAACACTCAATGCCCTTCTGAGGCAGAGTTTTCTCTAACTGTTCCCCAGCAGGATGACCAAAAGCTGACATCTGTGTGCAACAAATGTGCTGATTTTAATGAGGTCCTCAATAAGCAGGAGAATGATCCCACCTGTGAGAACATGAACTATTTAAGGGGCTTTCCTTTCCTGTTGAAAGGGGATTTATTTCTACATGAGACATCATCCTCCACTTTAAAAAGGAATGAAAAAGTAAGCTTAACTTTGAAAAATAACCACAGGCTGTATTGGGAGTAGGCTGGATACAAACAAATTTGCTCTCAGTGGGTTAAAAGGTCATGTTGTTGGAGGACTATAAAAGGAAGGCTCAGTATGCATGTACAATACCCTACTATTAAAAACTGAGGTGTGTAAGAAAGGTGTATCTATGCAGAGGATTAAACCTTACAAGTTCTTCTTTAAGTACAAAGGTTTCTCAACTCGTTAAAGCTCAGACTTCTTATGCACTCTGGTAACAGGCTTCTTGGAAGAGCTTGAACAAGCACAAAAGCCTAAAGCTGCTGCCACTGCAGTAAGCACAAGCTCAGGAACAGGCTTGTCTCTTCAAGACCATTATTTTTGTTGGCCAAGCAGAGCACAGTAAATGCTTCTGCTACCAAAGCCTGAAGTAAAAACATTTCCCAAGGCTTTCTGTAGAAAAGTCCATTGCACAGGGAGGTGGTTTTTCCCAACCCAGTAAAGCACCATACTCTTTAGCAAATAGAATTGACTTAAATCTGTAGATACAAATGATATATCAATGGTCAGCTGTATGACTGCTACAAATCATACTCACTGCTAAAATGCTGGAGTTGATGTAGAACAGCATACTAATTGCTTGAATGTTTTCGCATTTTTCCACACTTACTGATCTAATGCATTTTGTAGCCTGGTTTACTAAAAAGCCTGGAAAAAAGCCACAAAGAATTACTGAAGGAAGTTAAAGTGTAATTATAAACACCAGAAATAAAAATCTAAGCACCTCAAGTATAAGTAAGTGTAAATCCTATTGCAGGTAAGGGTTTGTGTGAGCTATAAAGACTGATACTTTCTTAGATTCTGCCAAAGTGCTGAGACAAAACACTATTTTTTAACAAGCTTAATAAAAAGAAGCTTAATAAAAAAGCTTAATAAAAGCCAGCTGAAAATGTATTACTTCAGTTTCGAGATCTTATGAGATTTCTTCATTTCACAAGAAACTTCAGTTTTCTTACGGTCAGCATGATTGTTATGATACCATATTTAATAACAACAGTGGGGTTTGGAAACTGTGTGTTTGGTTGTGGCTTTTTCTTTTTCCCTCCCTCTCTGCAGAGGAGAAAAAAAACTGTGTGAAAGATTAAAATGTAGAGCTCAAGCCTGCAAGTCTGCCTTGACTTGCATTCAGGCTGTGAAAGGAACCTCACTGTTGTAAGAGGCATCTTACAAAGGTTGCCCGGTTAGGTCTTGCTTTGTGTAATACCCTCTTCCCTCAGGGTGTCACCCTTGTGCTATTCTATTAAACCAGTTATGCCAAAGAGGATGTTTTATTGTTGGATAAACACCCCATTAACAAGATTCTCAAGGATTTACATATCTAACTTTGAATGTTTAACATAGATGCAACACAACTTCCAATCTATGCCTAAAAATAAACCCAGAGGAGTGGAAACATGAACAGTTTGTTCATGAATCCTTATCTGAATTTACATCTCTGTGTGTGCCAATTTACTGACTGATTAAGATCAAGTCAGAGCAGAACACTCTAAAGCAAACGAAACTTGAATTCAAATGCAGTTTCTAACCTGCAGGATTTTCATCAGAGCACCAAGAGGAGACCACAGGACTAGGCAGTCTCAGGAATGCATCCACTGTCTGTATAGGAACACCATACTGCCAAACAAAAGAATATATTCCAGTGTACAGGTACGCTTCAGTTCTAGTTCACTTTTTAAGTAAGCCAACACAAAACGCTACACTTCTTATTTTTACATTTCAAAATTTAAAGGCCAAGATAAAGTTTGTCTCTTCCAGAAGAACTGCATGTTTTTAAAAGCAGATGCAAACAATGCTTACTTCAATCTAACACTAATTGCATCAGATCATTATTTACCTGGTATCTGTAAGTTTCATTTGCGTCAGACAGATTCTGATCATCTGTGTTCATGTCCCAGCTCTCAGGCTCAGCACTGAAAGTAGCACTTCCAAACTGCTTAAGCAATTGATCAAAATTCTCAGAAGTAGGAATTTCAGGGGAACTGAAGGTGAGTGCTTGTTCATCTGTCAAAACATTTTAAAGAATAGGAGAACTTTGGGGATAAAAGATACAGAAACAGCATTTAGTAACATTTTTTTCCTTCTGGAGTCATTAAAAACTCAGCAATAGAAAAATATTAACACAGCTTTTCTCTAAGAAAAGCTTTCTATTTTATTTAAAAGAAAACCTAAGCAGTATCTCAACCCATTATTTCCCCCAGGTCCATGAAAGCACAAACGTAAGGAAAAGGGTAAGTCCCTTACTCTCAAAACCATGGTTTCTAGCAGCCTATGTTACAAAACAAAGACTTGTCAGTTAGTGTCTACAGATCCCATTGAAGTATTCAGATAATTTAATTCTGACTGTATGTTAGTTAAGAGAACACAGCACTGATAACTCCTTCCCAGCAAGTCACTTCTTCCCAAAGCTGGGCATAACGGATTTGTACCACTGGTGGCTATTACATAGTTACAGTAACTGATCAGGAAGGAGTTAGTTTCCCATATGACAACTTTAAATATTATGATGATAAATTATTTAAAAACAAATAAACCCCACAAAACAGTTTATTTTTTTTTCCAACAGAGAAACTAAGAATTAGAGATGTTTTATCTTCACAGTTTCACAAGTGAAAGGATTACAACATAAGGACGGTGAACCTGCAGAATAACCAGTTTTTTGACAGGTTTAGTTAGTTCTAATTTTAGTCTGTTTCTGGTATCTAAAGAGCTTACAAAAATAACACCACAGTGCTTAATATTAGCAACAGTTCTTACTTACAGTTTGTAGCATGAATGCAGAAAATACTGGGATTGACTTGGTCGATTAATTTAAATACTCTTTCTGGTGGATTTGCTTCAACATCAAGTGAATATATGGCAGCTTTCTGACTACACAGACGGCTGTCACCTCTGCAAGCAATAATAATAAAATCAGTGACCTACTTCAAGTGAGTATTGACCGTATTTTCAAGTTCTTTTCATGTATTTAGGCAGCATCAAAAAAAAGCACGAGATTACTGTTTTAACATAACGTACTGCAATTGTGTCTCCTTTGAAGGCTTATATTGTTTTTTACTGTGTGCTTAGTAATAAATAATAGAGAATTCTCCAACAGCTTTTATCTAGCAGTGGAAATTGAGCAGCAACATGAAGAAAGGTGGGAGACGGGAAAGGGGAGAACCTGACACTAATAATATTAGAGCTAAAATGAGAAGTTGGATGGGATCCATGTGGTGTGAGACACCACAAATTGCAGAGGGTCCCACACAGTATACACAGCTCAGAAGCACTCTTATTTATACAACACAAGTGGGAAGTATGACCTTTAGGGTGACATAATGGCATGTAGACCAAAAAAAAAGGTCAGTTTTGTGAATATTGGAATAATATTCACTTGGGGCAGGAAGTCCTACTTGAGATACACGTAAAAGAAATGGCAGAGACAGGAGGGTGAAATAACTCACTCCAGTCTAACAAAGTATTTGTAGATGTGCCATGGGCTCATCCACAGCAGCCCAGAACTGTGGCAGTGAATGTGCCAGTTCATACCCTGAAGAGCACTGGTGTGTCCTACATGCCGGAAATAAAAGATGATGATTCCTGTGAAACTGGTGCTGGGGCAGGGTTAAAACAGTCAAGGAGAGATACTGAAGAAGTGAAATGCCTCTTAAGTATGGAGTTAAACTCTTCCATGAAGTAAAGCATTTGTTAGTAGCATTCACATCCTAAATCAAATGCCCTTTCTCTGCTGTTTCCGAGGCCACATCGCCTCTTACTTGGGATCAGTCAAACCCTTTCAGTAACTAACACAATTACACTGATGTTTATAAATCTAGATGTAAATAATGAGATCCACAGTCCTTGCAGCCATTGAAAATCCCATGGATTTTCCTGTAAAAGAAACATTTTACACAAAAGACTTTGGGAAAAGAAACACAACTTCATTTTATACATTTCTAGTTGACAAAGACAGAACAGTCACCCGAGACAATGAAACTGTCACTCAGGAAGGCGCTGATTAGACCTTTCTGATATCTATAAATGGGAATCAGTAGTCATTGTGTGCAAGAACAATAAGAACCCATGGTCTGGGATGACTGCTAATTCAAATTTCAAAGCACCAAGAATAAACCCCAGTGTTCACATTGGCATGACTTATGCAGAAGGTGGGTTGAAGAGCTGTACTTTTTGTTCTGAAAAGTCACCGAGAGACTTTTTTACATTACAGATTTGAAGGAGCTTTCTTAACTCCTTTTTGAGATGAAATTGGGTGAGAGTGGTTTCACAGAGACTGTAAATAGCAAAGAAATAATTATTGGCATTAACTTATTGATATAATGTTAGATTTCACTGTTTCTAATGTGACGGACTGGCAGTGAGGCAGCAGGTTGGGATGCTGACTTGTAAAATGAGGACCAGAACAATGCTCAAACTTGTTCATTAAGCCCTGAATTGATCAAGTTTCTATCTGATATCATAAACCATAATGAAAGAGGTTACTGATAAATTGCTGATGACTGAAGGGGGTGACTAGATGGTCCCATGGTATCAGCTTTAACTCCAGACACTGCATTGTATTGATTTAAGTTTAAAGATGCATTATTCTTGGCCCAACAGAAGGTATCACCACTTAAGTACCCATAAACAAGGAAAGAGGAGAAAAGCAAGGAGTATGAGTTCAGAAATGAGGGAATAAGTCAAAGAGAAACAGGTGAGAGGACAATTTGTTGTTCTACCTGGTTGGGGACAAAAGTTTTCATGCCTAGTGCAGGAAGGACTGGTCAAAGGGTAGGCAGGAGTTAGAATGGAGAGGGAGAGTGGATAGGATTTGTTAATAGAGCCCTTACAGATGCATGCAGCAAATAAGATTTTACTTCACACAGCTGCTTATGCACTTACGTGACCACAGGAACTGAACAGGTAGTGAAGAGGCTGAAATCTGCTGCACTGCAATCAGGGTCACAGCAGCAATTCACATCACATTGTGCCACCAGCAGGTCACAAACACACAGCTTGGCAACTGAGGGGGAGGGAGAGATTGAAATTAGAACTGAAACTTTACACACTACAGCATGTTCCCCAACACTTCCATTCTTCACCTCACCTTGTTTCTGACAATGGTCCAAAGTCTATATCCAAATTCATGTGCCTTTAAAAAGTCATTTTCTAAAGCTATCTTTTTTGCTACTTAGCAAATCTATGTGGGACACAAGAACAAAACCAAGGGCATACTAAAACCTGCTGCTGTGTTCCCTATGAAATCAAAAAAGCAATGTTATAGGAGTTTCAAAGGTATGAAAATATACCCAGCCCTGCAGAGGGGGGAAGAGATATAAACAAGGCTCACTTCTTGCTTGTTCAGCTTATTGGGAAAACAAACAAAAAAGGAAACATTTTGATAGAGCAGTGAGATGTTTACAAGTATTGAGCATGTCCCAAGGTCCAGTAATATGTTTTCCCGATGTGCCAATGTAACCATAGTTGACTTTGTTGTTTCTCCTCTCTTTAGACACTGTGAAATATTGTAATAATAGAAAGTGCTACCAATACTGTAAGCTGGCTTGATAAAATACACTTGGTAACTTCTTAAACATTCTTGGGTTTTCAAGTTTATAAATTCAAACAAGCTATTACTCTAATGAAGTGGGTTTGAGAGCTGGTATTCTGTAATAAATACTGACTTAAGAACAACAGAGTGAAGAAAATGAAGCCCAGCTCTGTAGGGAAGACATTCAAACAACATTCATTTTCCTAACTAATGCTGCTTTTATTTTGACTCTTGCCCATTTCTTTATGGCCTCTCGGATGTTCTCTGACCATCTGAACAGTATCCAGGTATTTCCTGGAATCTCTGATGCTCTGACTGTTCCGTTCACTGAGTTTAGCACTGCAATCCTTAGCTCACCTCGTAAACAAGGTAAGTTTAAACACAGATGATTAGGTTGGGAGGTTGTATCTCTGAGATCAGAGATTTAAGTCTCTTTTTCCCTAAGGATGGGTACACACCGGGACATGTTTAATTTGGCAAGTAACCCAGGCAAGCTGAACAGTTGGCAACAACACTGGGAAACCAAAAGTTAAAGTATACCTGCCGATTAGGAGACAGTAGGAAACCAAACAACGATCCGTCATCTATCTTGCCATAGCATCACTATAAACGCACAGAGCTGGGGCCGAGTTCCGAGTCTTGGAGCAAACTGTGTGTGCCACCAGCTCGGCTGGGAGATCTCCAGCACACACAGGGTGAGCCTGGGTCCCCTCTGCCAGGCCAGGCTGTGCCCCATGGGCTCAGAGCAGGGTGCTGGGTGGGCAGGGGGACCTGTATCCTGGCCGTGCATGCCAGGATCAGCGTACCCAGCGGCTGTGTAGCGGTACTGTAGGGTTGTAAACCTGCCTGAGGAAGCCCTGAGCCCCGCCTGGCTTGGGGTGCTGCTAGAGAGGGGTGCTCGGAGCACAGCTGCAGCACAGCCCCGGTAAATCCCCACGGAGAAGCAGGTTTCCCTTGCCCGGCAATAGCCGCCGGTGCCGCGCAGAAGCCCTAAGGCACCCACCGTCCGTAACCGGAGCGGGCCCTCTGCGGGTCCGCGCCGGGACGGCCGCGCTGGTCTCCGGTGGCGCTCCGGGATCCTCCCTCGGCTCTGCTGCCCGGAGCGGCGGCGGGAGGAGGAGGATGAGGAAGGCCCCGAACCCCAGCGCCGCCGCCATAACAGACGCTGCCGGCCGCCCCTAGCAACGGCGCGGTTGCCAGGGAGCGCGGGGCATCACGGGAAGCGCGAGTTCCCGCCCTCCCGGGGCATGACGGGAGGGTGTCTGAGGTAGTGGGGCTGGATGGGGACGGGGTTGTGCGCTCTGGCGCCATGGCGGGTGGCGAGGGGAGGCTGGGTCTTGTCTGGCTGTTGCTTCCTGCCGCCCTCAGCCCCATTCGTTGCAGGGAGATGTGGGGTGAGGCGACACACTGAGCCTCTGCCTGGGTATGGCCTCCTGTGAGGCCACTCCGCTCACCTCAGAGCCTCCATTATGGCTGCCTCAAGCACCCACTTGTGCCACCCAGCCCTGTCAGAAGCCGCCCAGCGCGGCTGTAACTTGGGTGTCGGTGGCCCTCGGTGCTAAGCCAAGGGCAAGAGGAAAAAGTTTAAGTTGTAGCAACTGAAGCATTAGCCATGTATGTGGTTTGGGCAAAAGTTCTGCTGGAAAGCCATACGCAAAGGTGGGGAATGGCTGCTTGTGAGCTGTAAAATCTTACGTTTAGTGTATTTTTGCAACTTTTTAGTAATCTCAAGCCAATTTTTAAAGTCCATTTCTCCTTTAGAAAATTCCGTATCTCCTTTTGAAAACACTTAACGTCCAGCGCATCTGTTTGTTCATCAGCCTTACCAGTAATCCTGCAGTATATACAGGTGTTTTTATGCTAACTGGTAAAAAATGAGCTAGAGAGCGACTGAATGATCACAATTCTTTACGGCTATCTTACAAATACCAACATCCAGGCTTCAGTTCCAACCAAGAGATGACTTTTTAACCTTTGAAGTCTTGTGTTCTGCATTTCCGGCTAAAAAGCACCTCTACAACGTTTGTTCCTGCATCAGGCTAACAAGTGCATTGTTACAGTGTGCCTTCTTTTTCTGATCAGGGTCGTTCTCGTCCTCTTGAAGGGAAGCGCTGAGAGCTGCAAGGCCACAAGAGGGCATGTTCTCTTTTACGTCGATCCACTTGACTGCTGGCCATGCAACTTCAAGTCGACAGTGCGTATTTAGTACATTGATGTTCCAGATTCTGCTGAGAACTGAAATGATTCCACAAAGTCTTTGGCACCTTCACACTCTCCTCTTGCCTCACAGGAGCCCATTACTCACAAAGGTGTTGATGAGTTTCGCAAGACAGACTGTTGTCTGTCTCACGCAGTACAAGGCTACCAAGGTCATTTGATACTATCAAAGAGCTGGTAACGTAAGATGGATTTGAAATAGCTCCATATTACGTGGCGAAGTCCTGGAGTCATCCTTCTCTTTGGAAAGAAGACTTAATACTTCAAAGGTGACATGAAGGTGAGAATCCAGCATACTCCATTGTACCTCAGACATCTGTGTGCCTTATGTGTAGACAGTCTCACCTGGGTGTCCAGTCTGCATTCTTTCTGTTAAATATAACTTAAAGTTACTGTATTTGCCTTCTTCCTTGGGGAAGAAAACCCAGTGTGTTTAGTCTCTTTGTTTCTTTGCTGTTTCTGAGATTACAATGGAAACATTCATGCTTTTCCTTTCAGTAAGGTCTCCTCAATGATGTTACTACTGTTGGGTCTGGCTTTTTTCTCAGGCTTGAAGAGTAACAGTAACTTCAAGTACATTCCCATTTTGAAAAGAGACTGTAAAAATGGCATCAAGGGCTCCTTTTTCCTTCTCACTAAGGCTGTGCCAGTACTGGCTGCAGACATCAAATAGAGTCAGTGCCTATATTTGGAGGAAATCATGGGAGTCTTTAAAAAGCAGTCTCTTTCCTGGTCCCAGAGCAGAGGAACATGTTACCTTTGCCAGTTTACTCAGATTTGCATATTCATAGCTGTGGTCAGGACAGATATTGATGCACTACCCTGAAAACTCTGATTTCTTTGCCCCTGCTTAATAACACACATAGGCACAGGTTATAGAAATCAGGCAAGGACCTGTTAGCAGCAGAGTAAGAAGACTTGCGGCTTCAAGAAGGAGTCCTTAGGCAGGGAACTGTCCCCTGAATAAAGGAGACTTGTTTTCCTGCCTGTTAAAAGGCAAGTGAAGCTCTTTACTTTTGTCACTATGAAGTGACTGAAGTTTCCGCATCCTCTTGCTTAAGGGAAAGTAAAAAATAGATTTGGGAGTTTTACTTCTAGCAGCTGTGGGGCTTTTCTCCACTTCCAAGGGAGAGGGAAGCCTGCAGGAGGGAGCAGTCTGAGTGTGTGGCTGTGCTCTCCTTCACTGCCCCTTGAGATGAGACTCTCATCTCTCTGGGTGAAGCTGACTTGGGGGCTTACAGTCCCTTGGACTTCTTGACTAATCTCCCATACTATGACTATGTATGGTCAGTTGACAAGGATGAGGATGTTTCTCCTCTGTAGAAGTCCTGCACATTTGGAAATCTGGAATTTGGTTTGGAGACTTGGAGGGAGAGTGGTGCTTAGTTTATGGTTTATCATTGTTGGTTGTATTCTGTCTTCTATATAACACGTTCAACTGCAGCATCATGAGATGAGCTCATTAATATTAAAGCACCCCTACTTGTTAGTTTAAATGTTTAATGCATTTAAACTGAGTAAAAAGGGCCTTTGACAACGCACAAGGGAAAATATAATGTAATACATTCTGTTTTGCATCCAGAATTACTTTGCAAAGCTGATGGTGCACAAGGGACCAGCCTCCTTGATGAAAACCAAGCCTTGCTGAAAGCACAGATTGCACCCTGAATGCATGTGGGCAGGAGCTGGATGAATAAGAGGTATTATTTCTTACTGCATCTACCATTGAAATAGAATAGAACTGGGCAACTGTTCAATAGCAAAGTATAATTAATCTGGTTTTCTAATGATTGTTTTCCCCATAGCAAGTTAGGGCTTTACTCAGACCAACAATTCACCTAAAATCCATCTCCAGTAGTACTTGTAAAAGAAGAACAGGATTAACATAGTAGTCACTTCAGTTTCCTCTTTATTAATGTTTAAGTGACTAATTCTAAATTCCTTAACTGTAGGAAGAGATAGTTCAATAAAGGCATGATATCTACCCAGATATATGCACACATAAACAAAATGTATTAAGTAAAGTCTTTCAGAATGTAACATTAAAAAAATAGATTAAAAAAACCCCAAACAAAATACGCTTTTGTCATTAAAAAAACAAGGGAAGACAAAAGCCAAGTATAAGAAAAACCTTTTGAAAAGTTCCACCATCACAAAAGCACCCTTGTGTTAAGACTTCTGAAGCAGGTTCCAAAGAGCAGACTCCGCAGAGGGTGGGACAAGATTGGGACATTGCTAAATACTGCATGTTCTCCATCACAGAGATCCTGATTTATCCCATCAACATGTGGGCATTAATAATTAAAAAGGGCACTGTGATGCTCACAGGGGAGGTCCTACAAAATGGAAATTCGAGCAGTTGAAGATGCAGTTGATTGCTGTCTATAAAAAAACATTTGAAGGGATTTACTGTAGCACTATTTTAGTCATATATTAAGGAGCAAGATTTTGATGTGCATTTAAGCACTGTAGAGTGGCATTTGCAATCCAAATGTGGCAGGATCAAGTCTTGTCAAGCACCATAAAAGCAGGGTAAGTAACTGATTGTAAGCACAAATAAAACTAACACAGATGTCCTTTATGAAATGCTAGGACTAAGCAAACCACATTAGGTATGTTTCAGTTTCTCTCATCCAAGCTTATTTAATTCAGTTAAATGTTATTTTTAACTCTATAACTTTGACCACAGTCCTCACCTTTTAAAATTACTTGAGATTTAAATAATTACTTTAACACATCTAAAACTATTGCAGTTTCTCAGAACAAGTCACTCGAGTTTTCAGAACAGTGCACCAGTATCTGTCCTGAATATAGCTACAAATATGAGAATCTAAGTGAGTAAACTGGCAAAGTCCACGTGCTTTTGTGCAGTGACAGAAATTCTACCCATGGACACATATAATTTTGGTTAGACAGCTTAATTTTATTTTTTTTTGACATTTAAACTAGTTCAGAATTAGCTCAATAAGCAGAGTCTTCATAAACAATGATGGATGAGGTGTTCAAGCTATTTGTGGGCTCTTTCTGAACACACCTTATACAAGGCTTTTAACTGCTCAGGTTTTAGTGTTAGGAGGTTTTTAGTACTAAAAAATGCTCAACAGAGTTATTGTCATGAAGGAGTTAGGAATTCTCTAGGAAGTGGAATTCCTAGAGAAGTAATTCCTGTTACTTTAAACGTTTAAAATGAGGATAAAATCCTAAGAGGAGCAGTTTTGTATGTGTGTTACTTGATCTAAATATGTATTTTCAGCATGGTGCCATTCAAAACAATTTTACCACTGACCAAAAGTCAGAGTCACCATTACACTGCAGTATTCTGTGTTTTATAGAGAAAGTGGATGACTTGGTTGAGATTCTAAAGGAACCGAGGGAGAAACTGATAAGCAAAACAAACCAGCTCTCCATAACAGCTGGGATTTGGGAGGTCCTTGTTCCCATCCTGAGATGGTGATCTTCTGACTCAGTATCTCCTCCTATCTCTTCCATGTGAAGTCTGGCATCACCCTTTCACATTAGTTTTCTGTTTGGTTTTAACTATGCTGTCTTGAACTTCTTCATCTTTTCAAGGCAAACATGAGTTTTGCTCCATGACAGATGACTTTAAAAACTCAAGCAGACAAGCATTTTTAATTAGAGTCAAACCAAAGTCAAATCAGGCTGAAATAAACTGCATTCTGGTCTAGCACAACATTAGCCCTTAAACAAATAGCGAGAAGCCTGGGCTGCCTCTGTACAGCAGATGGCATTACAGGTAATATTTATCATACTCCAATCCCAAGGCTAAGATAGCAGGGAGGGAGCACTGACGTCAGCTACAAGTGAATCAGTCTTAATACAAGCTGAAAAACTGCTTGTGCCTTCCACAGTTGATTACATTGCACAGCACTTCTGCTTAGAGTTCCCCATTGCATTTATTGGTCTGAGCAAGCCTAGCAGGAAGAGTTCATTTTGTTTTGCAGCTTAACTGAACTGATGGAAGTGGATCTTGGACTTTGAGGTGGGAAGATTCCACCCAGCTGCAGTAACCAGGGGAATGCCCTTTGCCCCGGTTTTGGTGCCAAATTTGTGCATTTGAGAATTTTAAACAAATATCACTTGGCAGGATATTGACCCTCAGGGTACAAGAATAATGCAGAGTGAGGCTGCAGGAGGGCATGTCCTGGGAGGGATTTATGGGAGACCTATCAGGACTCGTACTGAACAGTGGGGAAACCCAAATGTCCTGTTTCATTTCCAACGGTTGTTCTTTGTCTCATGGGAGATAAGTGAGCTGAATGAAAACCAACAGCAGTTTTGCATCTGGGCACAGTGTGAGTGAAAGACTACGGTGCAGGAGTGAAAGAGTTCAGCAGTGGTCACTAATTCTCATATAGATGATGCCACCTTCCTCGTGTCTGGGTGCTGAGCAGGGATTGAGGAGCATGAGCTGGCATGGGAGCCCTTACTGAAACATGGGGCTGTGCTCTACCAAGTGTGTTTGACAGCCTTGTGCTCACACTGTTTCCCAACCCATGCTGACTGGCAAAGCAGTACAGAGAGTGTCCCATCCAGCTCCGGGAAACACCCCATGCTTCCAACCAAACCTGGGTTCTCTGTGGCTCAACACAGTGTGCACCCAGCCACTGCAGGACACATCACCCTGTGCTAACCACAGCTGCCCAGCACAGCACAAGCTGTTAACGAAAATGGGGGTGAGGCCAGGCTGGACTTATCCTAGAAGGGAACTGGACAAGAAGGTGGAAGAATGAGAGCGAGAGGAGGAAAAGAATGACTCTGTGGAGGAAACTCTTGACAATATGTGCTTCCCTTTCCTGCTAGTGATACAGGAGGGGTGAGGCAGCAATGCTTGTGGTGGAGGAGAGCCACCTTGCCAGTGCTGTTTGTCATCTCACACACCCTGATGGGCCTTGGCAGCAGCACACCCTTATCTCCAATGCGCTGGCAAATTTGTCTGGGCAGTGGGTTCCCAGCTCACCGAGGCCTGGGCTGCTCTTTGTGTTCACTGCACGCTCCTTCTCCACATTAATTAATTTGGTAGTAAGTTTGGATACCACTTCAGCTTTAGATGGAAAATCTTCATGCATTGCTTAAGCCTTTTGTGGCTTAAAGGGAATATTGTTTCTGTCAAGACGCACAGCAAGTGAAATGCCTCCTGTCTCTTGGTGCTGTTATAATGATGGTGCTGGGCTGGGTCTGTGAGTGTGTCGCTGCTCTTCCTTTCACTGGAGTCAGCCTGAGGTTCAGGTTTCACACCTGCCTCTGCTTTATTTATGCCTGTTGTGTTATATTTACATATCTCGGGTTATGGAACGCGGCAGCAGCCTCCTCAGGAAGCATTAAGTGAATTCGCATGTGTTGTGCAGTGACCTGCTGGGGACTTCCCAAGGGACAAGCCCTTTCCTTGTCCACAAGCAGCACAGAGGAGCTGCAGAAGACAAGGAATTGGGTTTCTTTTTGAGTGCAAGTGGATGTATAAAGCCATCATGCCTTGAAGTTGTTGGTGTCTTTGAAGTTGTGCAGGGGGACACTGGAAAGTTGTGTTGTTGCCTTTGGATCATGCTCACCTGCAATTACCATGATGTTCGTGGGTTTTGTGTTGACTGTGTGCTGAGGGTTTTGTTAGGCATTTCACATCCCTGCCCCAAAACATTCTCCAGTTTCATGGATTTCCACAGAAGCCACACAAACATCACATGCCGCAGCGAGCTGGCGCTGTCCCTCACTGCACCCACGGGGGAGGGAAACAGGACTTGTCCTTTAAAGTTAAGTTTTTGTGCGGTGTGACTCACATCACCTGCCTCAACAGCCAGAAAACACAAGTGGCCACTGAGGCCCTTCGAGTTATTTGCAACGCGCCAGACACGTGGCCTGGGCTGGGCATGGAGAGCCGGTATCTGTGTTAGGTGCAGCCCCATTCACCCCGCTGTATTGTTAATAGCTACTGGTAAAGCCGCAGGAAGCTCCCCTGTCCCGGTGCGGAGCGTGGCCCCGGTTACCGGGAAGGGAAAGGGCAGAGACCGCGATGCCGCGAGGGCTGCCGGGAGCTGCGCGGTGTTATTGTCCCGCAGCATGCAAATGAGACGCGGCCCCCAGCCAATGAGAGAGGTCGTCGGCTGCGGCGCAAGCGCGTTGGGGAGGGGCGGGGCTGACCTCGCCGTCAAGCCCGCTCCGCCGAGCGGCGGGGCCTCAGCACGCGCGGCCAAGATGGCGGCTGCGGGCGGCGGGCGGCGCAGCGGGCACGGCCGGCTCTGACCGGGCCGCCCCACGGCGCGGCGGGAGGGCGTACGGAGGCCTCCGCGGGGCAGTGCCGGCCGGCAGGGGAGTAGGCAGAGCCCCCCTTCGGGGGGGGGGGGGGAAGAGGAGGGATTGTGTGCGGAAGGCGGGGGCCGCTGCCGGCGAGCCCGGCCGTGAGGGGCCGGCGAGCGGGGCGTGAGGGCGGGAGCCGGCCCGGAGGGGTGAGGCAGTCCGCGGTGGGGGGAGGGCGAGGGGCCGGGTTGAGGAGGGGCAGCGCGGGCTGAGGCGAGGCTAGCCGAGCCGGCCGGCGAGCAGAGGAAGGCTGGCTCCCTGCGGCGGGCGCTCGCAGGGCAGGCGGCGGCTGCGCCGGTGGCTCCCCGCGTTCCTGGCTCTCGGCTGCTGGGCGCCCCACGCCATGTTCTCGGTGCTCTCCTATGGCAGGCTGGTGGCCCGGGCAGTCCTGGGCGGCCTGTCGCAGACGGACTCCCGTGACTACAGCTTGGTGACAGCCAGCTGTGGCTTTGGCAAAGATTTCCGCAAGGGCATCCTCAAGAAAGGCATGTGCTACGGAGACGACGCCTGCTTCGTGGCCCGGCACCGGTCGGCTGATGTGCTGGGTGAGTGCTGGCGAGCCCTGCTCGGGGTGCTGGGGAGGGGTTGGTGGCGGTGACCCGGCCTCCTGTGTGAGCCGCACATGGCAAAGCGGCTCATCGGCTGCAGACAAAGGAAGCGGTTCCGCCTGTAAATGTCAGTGCGAGTTCTCTATTTTTTTAGCTTTAGAAGAAAGCTTTTGTACTCTTTGCCGCAGCACGACACCCACCTCACTTAGCACACCCATTGGGACGGGGTGCTGGGTGCCCAGGCCCAGCCTTGGCACCTCACCTGTAGGTGCCTGCAAGGCCTGGTGCCTCCAAAAGCTGGAGAAACGGCGTGTAATATTTCACTTTCCATGTGCCTTTAAACCGTAACCAAGCCCTTTGTGTATGCATTGCGTTTACCAAGAAAAGATCATTGAAACGGACACTTCCTGATTTTTAGCGTGTCCTGTGTCCTTGTCAAGTGAAAGGCAAAGTGACATTGAGACTGGCTTCAAATGTCAAACTTCAGTTTCAGTATTTGCGCTGTCTTGATTGCGCTCTCTGGTTTGTATACACGTGTGAAATGAATCTGAAGGGTTCAAATTTTAGGAGTAGTGAATAATTAGAGATAATGAGTGGAATCTTTGGTTTGTGAACAGCACTCTTCTGACAGTGCTTGACCTTTCTCCTGTGTAGTCAAGGTTGATTTTGGCTAACTGGTACTTTGCAAAAGTTAACTTACTTCTGTCAGTTGCTTGAAAGCTTTCATCAGAACTTTGATATTAAAAAGAAAAAGCTTCCCCCCCTTTTTATTTTTATTTTTTAATTTAAACCTGGTGGGATTACACTGCAATGTCTTGTGATGTATTGGGGACTCTTCACAAGCCAGTGCTGTTGCCCAGAGCTTGGTTGCTGTTTCATGCTAAGACGTTTCTTCTGGAAGCTTGGTGCTAGTTAACAGTATTGCTGATCATTCTCCAGTGAGCTGCTACTCTAAGGGTGATGCTGCAGCTTTGAAGATGTGGAAAACAGGTCAATGCATGTGAGATACTCAGCATGTTTTCTGTTGTGCCTATTCCAGAGAAACTTTTTGCTGTTCAAATTAGCTGTTGGACAGCTTTACTTTAGCATGTGACTGAGACTGCCTGCCTTTAAAGTTCACACTAGGCCAGCACTGATAAATAACTGAGCAATCAGGATTTGCCCAGAAGAGAAATGGAGGGTCTCCTTTACTTACAGGTGGACTCTTTGCATGGGGAAGCAAGTAGATTTGCACCCATTTGATGATGTTTAGTGGGTTTTGGCCATATTGGGTAATTGCCATATGTGGACCTACAGCTTGTCTTGTCTTCCTGCAGGAATCAACAGAATTGTGTTTCTAAGTTGGGCTTTGCATTAATTTTCATGGTGACATGAAAACAAACAGAATTGCAGCTCCACTTTAGGATCAAACAGCAAAGGCGGCTTCAGACCAGTATGTCTTAAACACCAAGGAGAAAATAATTTACACAGAAAAGCTGTTGGGTTGGGTTTTCCCCTGTAAAACTGTTTTCATGTTAGTTCTTTATGGATTTTCTAAATACACCTTCCAAACCCCCAGGATCACTGTACATTCTGCAAACAGTAACACTCAGGATGGGGTTTGATGCCGTCCAACTTGATGTTTTTTCTTCATCTGGAGTCCTTCATTTAACAGACATAGTTTACTCTTTGTTTCTGCTGCCACAGTCATCTCTTTGCTCTCCCTTTCTCAACCAGTCCTACACAGCTGCAAAGAGAGTTTCAGCACTAGTGTTCCTGCCTTTAATTCTTGTTGCTCTCATCACAAATGTGAGGTTCCTTAACAATTGTTTTTTAAAGAGCCTCATAAATTTTCTCCTAACTCAATACCTTGCCGACTGCACCTCAGCAGAACTGCCTGAGCTGAGCTGTTCCTTTCCAAGCTTCATTTTTCAGTATTACCTTAATGAAAAGGCTCACGTGGCTTCAGCTGGAGCAAACACTAGACACGGTGAGAGTGCTTGTAGAGAACAGTAAATTTCCAAGTGTATCACTTGGAGTTATCCTGCCCTGGTAGTCATCAGTGACAAAGCCATGCCAGACAATGAATTTAACATTCTTCTGTGCCAGCCTTTTCCAGAACCAATATATGGGAAGCATGCCTGTGTGGGATGGAGATGGGTGTGGTGTAACAGTGAAAGAGCTACTCCCAGCCACTTGGCATGAGTGCTTGGGGATTCATTTTCTTAGGTCAAACAAAAGTGTTTATAGCAGATGCAAATATGCTAAAGACTTCTTTTGTTCTATGTATACTGTGTAGTCTAAAGGCTGAAAACAGTGTCTTCTAGTCTGTGTTTCATCCTTTCACAGTAAGATCAACAGAAAGCTTATGAAGATTCATGTTGTTTCCAGTCCTCCCTTAGTAGTTAAGGGCTTGATGAGGCCTGTTACTGGTGTACTTGAAGCCTCGAGGGGTTTGACTTATTTTTACTTTGGTCTAGGATGTACCTGTTAAATTTGGATGTTTTCTTCCCATTTTGGGTACAGTGAGACGCAAGAAACTCAGAACCAGGGTGTTTCCTTTGGGATCACTCTGAGAAAAGGAAGTGGCTTTACTACCAACGTTAATCTCTAGAGATTTATGATTCAGGCCCGTGTTTCCTGCTGCTCATACCATATTGTGTCTTTCTGTGTGTTCACTGTCAGAGTCCTGGTTGTCCAGATCCTCAGGATATTCAAATACCTTCTTGAGATGTGATAGATGTCATGTGCTGCTTCAGGTCTAAAGGCATGCCCTTGAC